AGTGGAATCTTTTTTATTTAACTGTAAATACATTCAAAATATTTTGTGAGGTTGCCCTTTTTACAAATTTGTAGTTTAACCAAGTTTAAAGCAGATACTGTGTTTTACATTTTACCGGAGGTTAAATTCATATTTAAAAAAATAATACAAAACCACAGTATATATTTAGAAAAACTTTTATTATTTAAAAAAAATCATATTATCGTTCTTAGTAGTTAATCTTCTTCAAAAGACGTTATTAAATCTAATGAATCATTATTTACAGAAAGGTTTTCCCAAAAATATCTTCGGTTTATCGGCATTACAGGAACTAAAGCCTTAAGAATAGCTTTTTTCTTTTCTTCTGGAATTCCCCTAGTAAGTGTTAGTGGTTCGGGTAAGTAGTGCTCAGCTGCATATTTTTTTTGCAAAAAGTCAAGTTCGGTGTAGTCTTCGGTAAAATTTGTTTTGAAAAATAGTGTTTTTGATCCTCTTTTAAAATTCACTTCTACAACCGAATTTATCTGAAAATTTTTTAAGACATTGTCGTTTTTTTCTTGTAGCTCTTCTTTTTTTCTCCCATTTATATGATTTTTCGACCTCTAAAACTTCTAAAGCCTTTCTTGAGGATTTGATAACATCTTTCAAATCATTAAAATCGTAGACGTTCTTAACTTTATTTATTGTTTTTTTCAATATTTCCATGGACCCCATCTGCTAACATATTGGTGTGACCTTTAGTTAAATATTTTATAGTTATTTCGTTTACTGATGAATCTGGACAGTTGAGAATCACAGTCAATGCCGAAAAAATTGTCCAATTTTTGTTTTGGGCAGTACAATTGTCTGCCCAAAAAATAAATTTTGTAACATCACGTTCTCTATTTATAACTGTAAAAATGGAATCAACGATGTTGGGTGCGTTTCGACCTGCCATTCCCTCGTGCCAAACTACGCAGTAGCTATTTAACCCAGATTCCTTATGGATAGGTGCAAATGTTTCGTTAAAACATACTAATCTTCTGGCAAAAAAAATATCTTTAATCCCTGGCATTATGGGAAGCAAAATGACTTTTTGTAAGTCCATTGAGAAAAACTTTACATGTGCTGGTGATGTTTTTGCAAGATCAACATCGGATTTATAGAATTCGTTAGCCCTTTTTGCTTTATCAATGTGAATTTTATAATGGTCTAGACTTTCCGGAGGTATTTCTTTATTTTCCTTGTCTGCTTCCTTTTCTAAGTTTTTGAAAACTTCACAATCTAGACATTTGTCCGATTTTGGCATTTTTAAAGAAATGTGCATTTCCTTAATAGTTGACCTATACATTTCTATCGAACAATAGCCAGGATATTTTTCTAAAAAGTTTGAAAACATTAAACTAATTGATAAGTCTCTGGGTAAATACCTTATGTTCGGTGCGTTATGTCGTCTATAATGACTTACAATTGGATGAAAGCTTTCAATGTGTGCTTTAGTACTTGCCTCTATTTTCTTTCACTGCTGTACCCAAAGGAGCACGTTCCATTGCATTGCACAGTTCGATAATAACTTAATCATTTGTATAACCCAAAGTGCGTAATAAAAAATTACGACAAACTTTAACAGTGTTTCCATCGGCTTTGGGCAAATAAAACTGACGCGTTTTATTTTTTTTATATATATTTTCTGTAGAAGTGACTGTGCGTCTGTTAACTGTTTTGATACAAACATGTTTTGAGAGCCATACTCGTCGTTGGCTATAGTTAGTCAGCCAATAATCTTTCCATATTTTATTTCGATCTTCATCAGAAAAATCTTTGCATTGAATATCTTTACATTTTTGTAAACAAGGAGATAACATTGGATGTTTCTTTGTATCGCGCAAAAATTTATCTTCGTCTGTTAAAATAGATCTCTTAAGGTTTTCTTTCTTTTTTTCTTTTAACTACTGGTTCATACTCTTCTTCAGGATTTGCCAAAACTATTTCAGTTTCCGCGTATACATGATGTATGGCTCCTTCAGCTGTTTCCATTCCCGACTCGTTAATATTTTCATTAATCACGCCAGATTCTTGAGTTTCCATTTCCAAGATGTCAATATCAATACTTTCATTGGCCACGTCAAGTTCTTGAAAAACAGGTACAGTAAAACTCTTCTTTGCAGCCTTAGTTCCATCATCCATTTCCGATTCGTTGGTTTCAATATTTTTATTGGTCACGTTAGGTTCTGTAAAACTCTCCCTTGGAAGCTCAGTTTCATCGGGAAGAAAATCTGGATCAGCAATGCTGTCATCATCATCCTCGTCGCTTTCAAATTCATCATTGAATTCTTGCATTAAATTCTTTTGGATCCTAAAACAAAAAACATGTATCTAGTTTGTTTATAAAAGTGACAATATTTGCATTCGAATCGATTCTGATTACGTTGGTATATGATCCTGCTTTTGATTCAAATTCATTGCTTATATTTGGTGAAAAAATGTCATTTTTAATTTAGCTAAGAGTTATCAAAAGGTTTGAGTTTTTTTTTAATATATTCTAGTAAAAGTAGATAAAATTATAGCAGTGTATTCATTTTAACTAACTTCTATATGTATGAGGTTACTAGTAGTAGGTGTAATTAACAGCAAAATATAAGTACAACAATAAAACTAAGGGTTTTAGTACATAATGTGAAGTAAAAACTACATGTTCCTGAATGTCTTTAATAACAATCGTTTATTCTGCAGCCCTAACCTTGATCAAACACAAAAAAACTTACCCTGAACAGCTTGGCTCATTTTCACCGTCGTTAACACCGGTATTACTATTTATCATAGACAATATGAGACGAGTACGCCGACTTGGATAACTATGCGACATTATTTAATACTTTTTAACGCTTTTTAAGAAAGGTTCTGTCTCAACACACATGTACTCACACAAACTTTTTTGAGGTTATGCGTTGGTTTCTTCAACTGAAAACACAGTATCTACCATACACATGTACTCAAAAAACTTTTTTGGAGGTTATGCGTTGGTTTCTTGAACTGAAAAAACCCAGTATCTGCCATATACTTTGTTTGTAAATACATTTTTATTTGAAGATGTTGTAAAAATAAAATGAAGAACACAGTATCTGGCATATACTGTCTTTTACACTTCTATATGAGAGATACTGTGTTTTTCATTTTAAAATTAGTAAATTAATGGTAGATACTGTGTTTTCCTATTCGAAAATCTTCAAAACCAAATGATTTACGTGGATTTTAAACCTAAAATATAATAAACAACATTAAATTATACCCATAAAAGCGAAAAAGTCAATTCTGAAGAAATTGTTGGATACTGTGTTTTTCATTGGGGCAGCCGATTGGCCAATATATAAAAGAAATAGACGACTAATAAAAAATATCTAAATACATATAAAATATAAAATAATAATAATAATATAACAATAATCATAACAGTAATTCACTCGGTTTTTGAATTATTATCTCACCCGAGCAGTGCTATCTATAACTTGATTATTTAGAATTTATGTTTCAGCTAAACTATCTAATTCAAATCTAAGCTCATTAAGTGAACTTAAATTTGATTGTGATACCGTATGCCTTCAAGGCGCTTAATGAGGTTGGATACAAGAACCTTGATGTCTTTGTGTTCTGGCTCTCTTGGAGTTTCGAATATATCTGACTACCTTCCATATAATGACAATCAATATAACAATGAGTATAGTGACTAGTCCGGTGGTTAAATGGTTAGCAACGGTTTTTCACGTGTGTTCGGATATATCTTGGTCACGCTGCTCTGCTTCAAGTACAATATTTGGCAACTCATCTCCCCGAATATCTATATTATGTCTAGGAATTTTGTTCAGCTTTATGATTGGCCTCTGCATAAGCAGATTAAGCTCATCAATGGGACTGATGGGAGTCTTTAAATAATTTTCAATTGCTGTTTACAATCCATTACTGCATCAGAGTAATGTTATGTTTCGAGTCTGAGCAACGCATTTTGGTGACAGCTTTATAAAACTCGTTTCGTTAATTATATGTTCAGATCGAAAACCATCGCACATTATAACTAAATTTCATGTGTGCTCATTCTCAACCGATCAACCAACTGACTTCCTTTATCGTGTATTTTATTATATTGCAGGTGGTGTTGGTAGTTCTATCATATCATTAATTTAAGATACAGTTTGGCTGAGTATCCATATTAATGACTCCCATTGGTGAACATGCCAACTCTGCTTTGTTTGATTCTAAACACTTTCTTTTAACTTCATATGTCACTTCGAAATAGTGTAAGTTATTGTAATCTACTGCAAGTGGATTCCTTGGAACTAACAACGGGTGCACAGCACCACCTCTCACCTACACTGGAAGAGATGTGACTCTCAGTAGATTAGATCTAGTATTGTCAATTATTAGGAAATAGCCATCTTATATCTACTCCTTGTGGAAGGAACCTCGGAGCATTCGAAATGATTGACTCTATTTGCCCATTATTGCAATGAAGATTTAATATTTTATCGTATGTGTTACATCACTTAGGCCATTAGACATTTCCTTAGTTGTGTTTATCAGTACTTCTCGGAACCTATTTAAATATCCGTTTATTCTTTCTTCTGTAGAGGTAATCGAAGCTATTGTTTGTAACATCAGCTTCGTCTGATGTTTTGAATTTTTTGTTAGATCCTTCTGATTTTCGTCCAAGGAATCTGTGTATACTTCATCATTTACCCCAAATACTGATGTGAGGACTGTTCCTAGAAGACTCCTCTTCGGCCTTCTTTTAACTTCCAGATTTAATGCTCGACTTATCATTTTTGCTCATTCTTGTTCCTCTTTTGAATGCTCTGAATATAATCCGGGGGATGGGGTATAAATTTTGTACAAATCTGCATTTTATGGCTTGATAAATACTAAAGGTCGTACTGGAGGACATTAATAAGAGCAAGTAATAAGAGGCCGTTACTAAATGAGTTGAAGTATAAGATTCTATAAGAAGTATCATGTCATACCCTTACAGGTATACTATATTATAGACTTACCTCGAATTTTGGCAAATACCTGGGCGATCCCTTAACGTGTTTTTTTCTAACGAAGAACAGAAGATCATCACAGTCCATGGTCGATTCATTTTGGAATAAAAAATGGCGAACAAAGAGATCTGTCCAGTAGGTTGTACCTTGTAGCATTACAAATCCAGACTCTGCAAAATAAAAATATTATTTTTACAGTGTTTTGAAAGCAAAACGTATTTATCGTCTTCGAAAATAGAAGTATGAAGGAGGTAACGGAAAAATTTATGTACCTAAACAGAAAGCACAATATTGGCCGACTTATATAAAGGTACAACTATATCTTTATTATTTATTAATAAATTATTTAATAATTTTTTAGATTTATTCATAATGCCTTATAATTTTTATACCTACTTTTTTATTCTTTATTACTATTCTTAATTATTTTGTATAATTAATTACTATTTAAATGGAAATAAGCCACAATTAAAGGTTAAAATACGTTTATTGATATTTCAATTTCCACTTCGGAAATCGTTTTCAAAATACAAACATTAGTAAATTTAACAAATTTTGTTTTTTTGTTACTTGGTGAAAAAATTCTTCTAGTAATTTAATTTTATCTGACTCATTTATATTGACAATTCAGACATACATTATACATTTTAAAGCAGACGACTACTAGATAAAACTTAAAAAGTTATGGAAACTGAATACTTGGGAATAAAACTGTCAAGCTACGGAAAAGTGGAAGAAGAAGTACAAAAACAAGAGAACATGGCAAACAGAGCAGTAGAATGTCTCAACAACACAATCTGGAGAAACAAATACCTCACAACGAAAACGAAAACCAGGATATATAAATCAACAATAAGACCGATAATGACGTACACAGCGGAAATAAGAGCAGATACGGCGAAAACACAAAGACTGCTGGAAACAACAGAAATGAAAGTCTTAACAAACGAAAATAACAAACCAAACTCTAAGAGACAGAGTAGGAAGTGAGGAAATACGAGCGAGATGTAGTATAGAGGAAATAGACGCGTGGACCAAAAGAAAAAAAGTTGAATGGAATCAACACATCGAAAAAATGACAGAAAATAGAATAGTACGAATATCAAGAGACAAATCACCAAATGGAAGAAGATCATTGGGACGACCGAGGAAAAGATGGTCAGACAACGTCAATTGAGGCTAAAAACCGAAGTAAAACAGGCATTAAGCCTATTTATAAAGTAGGAAGAAGAAGAAAGTAGACGACTTTAAAATGATATTGTTCTGAAGCCATTTTCTTGTGGTATTTTAAAGTAATTACTATTTAAATGGGAATAAGTCACAATTAAAGGTTAAAGTACGTTTATTGACGTTTCAATTTCACCATAACTTATTTTTATACAATTGATATTTTAAGCACTTTATTAATAATTCTAAAGACTTAGCATTATATCACGTTGACAATTTTATTAAAAGTCAGTTGTTTATTTGGGTTTATATGACTGCGGACAAGCCAATAAATACATTAATTGATGTGAAATAGGCATATAAGAAGAACGAAAATCATGAATAGAAATTTCGTAACATCGTTTAGAACCAGTTGAGACTCCTTAGGATCTGATGAGAATATTTCGTGATAATTCATGTGAAGATAATTTGGGCGTAAAATAATTACCCATATTTTTATTTGGGTGACATTTACGTAAAAATATGTTAAAATAGGTAAAGCGTAGTAAACAATAAATACTAGAACCATAACAAAATAAGGAAGATACTGTTTGTAAACATTTTTTTTATTAATAAAACAAATTTATCCACACACCCACTCAAATGTCATTGCCCTTCTTTATTTGTTTCGTAGGTTCACACCCCTAGTTCTAAAATATTAAAAATAATCTTTCACAAAAGAAAAATGCTTACCATCCTTGAGCAATTGCCTCATTTCCTTTGTCCTCTGAAAATTTATTTCCTCCAACAACTGCTCCAATACAGTGGGAGTTTTCAGCGCTGACGAATTTGAAAATGCCATATTTGTTTAGCTATACCTATGTACAATGACAGAACATTTGTTAATTTCAAATCGGCATTTCGAGTATTATTTTCGCCATGTTCGAATTTTACGAGTATTGTAGAGACGTTAACATTTCACAGCACGTGACTAATGCGTTCATTTTGGCCGTGATCGATAAAAGATGAACGTGGCCATGCGCAGGGGGTGGGAATTGGGGGCGGTGTAGCGTATTTACCCCGATAGAAATTGTATTAGAGAATTTGAGTGGCTCAAAGATGATAAATGGATGTAAATACGATATTTGCGATTGGTTAATAAAGTATTATTAATCGTTAGCAAATAAGTAAATTCGTATTTTGCAAATATTTTTTTGGGGGAACCTAAAGCATTATCATTACATTTGTGTTTAGCTATATGCGCGGTCGGCTTCTCGAATTATAATTCCCCATATGTTCGATCTTAGGTCATGCCAGTGTTAATTCCCTTTATAGACATGCCAAACTGTCTCCCAATACGTTCTCTTTGGTCTTTTCGCTTACTCCTTTCATGAAACTGACAGCGATTTTTCGTATTTGATGGTTCCCATGTGAACATATCCTACTTATTCATCGTAATCGTAACCTAGTTTTACATTTTTATCTGAAAAACCCAATTAATTATTTGAATTAAAGAATGGGCTAACTCCATTTAGAAGAAAATGGATAATGTGTCGACATTGGTCCTTGAAATTCTCTTAAATATTGATAAACACCCAATGTTCATCACTATGGATATTGGGCATTAAATTCGAATTACCTAAGGACATTAATTAGTAAGATTGCTCCAGGAACGTTCGATAGATGAGAATGACCTTAAAATCATAAAGAACCTTTATATGAATCAAGTGGCATCTGTGAAAGTAGGACTGGAATCTACATAATATTTCTCAATCGAAAAAGGTGTACGTCAGGGTTGTTTTCTGTCACCCCTCCTTTTTAATCTTTACTCTGAAACGATTTTCGATAGAGCCTTAAGTGACACTGAAGATGGAATCAAAATCAACGGACAGACTATTAGTAATTTTCGCTATGCTGATGATACTGTCCTAATAGCTGATAGCCAAGAAGCGCTACAACGACTAATAGAATAAACACTGAAGGAAAACGACTGGGCTTGAAGATTAATATAGACAAGACGAAGGTAATGGTGGTTAGTAGAACACGAAATATGCAACTAAATATAAGAGTAAACAATAAGAACATCCAAAAGGTCCCCAAGTTCAGATATCTCGGTAGTTAGATAACTGAAGATCTAGATCCAGACATAGAGATACGTAGCAGGATTGAGCAAGCCAGAACAGCATTTACTAATATGAGAACCTTGCTAAGCAACAGCACCTTTAACTTAACGCTTCAATATCGCTTTGTAAAATGTTACATTTACTCCATACTGCTATATGGTGTAGAAACCTGGACCATAAAGGCCAATGTGATGAACCGATTGAAGGCCTTTGAAATATGGGTATTTAGAAGACTACTTAATATTCCCGAACAGATCACACAACAAATATTGAAGTATTAAATCGAATGAGCAGAGAACGGGAATTACTGCCAATATTAAAAAGAAGAAAAACTGCTTATCTGGGTCATATATTTCGAAATTCCAAGTACCAGTTCTTAAAATTTATTATGGAAGGGAAGATAGAAGGAAAACGAGGCATCGGAAGTACGAAACACTCATGGCTTAAAAACATAAGGGATTGGACAAACCTCGATGCCCATGCACTCTTTAGAGCCACACAAGATCGAGAAGAGTATGCCAGAATTGTCGCCAACATCCACTAATTGGATAGGGCGCCATAAGAAGAAGAAGAAGGACATTAATTAAATTAATTAATAATGTATATCGGCAAATTTCTAAGTGTTAAAAAGCACTAAAACATAGGGAGTTTGTAGGCCATATCTAATTTTGTCAATAAATTAAACAAACTATCAATTGTTTCAACTATTGCTAAAAAAGAACTACAACTATACAAATCCTATGACCACTTGTTATAGAAAAAGACGTCATTGAAGCAATGGAGCAATTTGTATACCTGGGAACGCTCCTTAACACTAAAAATAGTAATACTGCAGAGATAAACGGCAGAATTTTCACGGCCAACAGATGCTATTTTGAGCTCATTCTCCTCCTTAAATCCATAATTATATCGAGAAATACAAAAATAAAAAAATGGGTAAAGAAATAATAAATAAGACTTACTCACAATCAATTTAATTTAACTATTCAGACGACCGGTTTCGCTTTCTACAATATGCAAAGCATCTTCAGGTCTCGATACAAAGTTAAATAAATGCTGAATTGATAAAAACCCATATTAGGGTGTTGTCTAATAAAGATAAACGAATTAGATGTTATAAATTACAATAATTATGCCAATATTACATGTCTGTGGTTTTTTCAAAATGAATAGAGTTGAGTAGAATGAGAATGAATAGAATGAGATATTTCGGTTTTCGGTTTATAAAAAGTAGCTGCATCTGTTATTCAGTGCTTAAAGCTGGGAAATTTTCCGGAAGGCTTTAAATAACAAAAAACGGTACCTCGTAACTTTTTCCAGTCATTTTGTTGATGAAGTACCTCATAATTGTCAGTTTAGCCATGCTAAAGTACAACACCTCGATTCTGGGCATTCTAATAATTGTTTTTCTATGCTTATTTGCAGCTGTATATTGGCTTAAGACTTATAATATGTATTTTAGAAGTATGTATTATCAACTTAATTTAGAAAAGTGTTTTCATTGAAGGAATGGTGTGTGAGATCTTCGGCTATGAAGGCAGAAGAAGGTAGATATGAGTTCCAGTACAGACTTAGAAGTTACCTCGAGAGCAAAACGCAACGATATTTTTGAGGAGGACAGAAGTTTTTTAAAATTATCTATAACTGAGCTAAATACAAATATTTCAGTCATGGGTTGATGTGTACAAGATTTAAGAGAAACGGTGCAAAGAGGAAAATCATAAAGTACTTTCTCTAAAACTATTCAAAAACGTGACAAACCAGATGAAAATTTCTTTGTTTCAGCCTCGCAAAGATTAATGCGATATTTGTTTTAAATATAAAAATAAATAAATATATTTCAAAGAAAAATTTGGCAAGATCTGAAAAAGAACAAGACTTTTTTGTGGCGACAAGTTGTCGCCACAAATACCTGCTAGTGCACTTTATTATAAGACTAAATTGTGTTGTTACAACTTTACATTGTATAACTTGGTAACAAAAAAAGTTGTTTGCTATTGGTTTAATGAGACAGAAGCTGAAGGTCAAGCTTCAACCTACGCCTCTTTTTTGGTAGAATACCCAGAGGGAGGGAATTCATAATTATCCGTAAGAACCTCCGAAGCTATAAGTTTCGCTAGGATATCTAGCTTCAATCCAACCAGCATTTCAAGACAAGCTACAACACGGTCTGTAAAAACATCAGTTTTCATCAGATGATGATGAAGGACGGCATCAGTGGGCCAAGTTACTTCCAGGGAACGAGGAGAATTAGTTACACAAGTAGCAAAAACTGTCCAATTAACAGTAGTAAGCAAGAACTGCCTACATTCATAGGTAACTCCCCTACCTATCAATTGACCGTCGGTATAAGCTAGCAGGTATGCATACACTTAAAGTATATACTAATACTACATTATTCTATACTTTTTATTTGTAAGAAAATAAGGAACGTCTGGCATCCCTGTGATCTTAGACTATTATTTAAATTTCTACATGCTTTATTTATATAAATACTTACTAATATTTGGGCTTATTTAAATTCTAAAAACCACTAAAGAGCTGCGTAATTAGTTCGAAGAAGGAATTTTAGACTATACAAGTATTTGTGAAAATGTTAACAAACCTTTACTACACCTAGAAGTTCTTCTGGTAACGCAGTAGTTTCTTGGTTGTTTACACTCCCATGACAGTATTATACACTAATAAGAGCTCGTTATTATTTCCTGACCATAAATATTTAAATAGAAACTTTTTTATTTTTTTTTATAAAAAACTTTCTCCGAAGTACTTTTCGAACTCTATCAGGTTTTTCCATTAGAATTTCCCTGTTATTCTTTGTGTTCTTTCATTGACATCCCATCACTTTTATCAGTTTTATGTGACTGTATAAATATTGTCTTATAGGAACTCGTTTTTCCATGACATAAAAATTTATTATTATATGACGAAGTAAACCGCTGTCAAAATCATCCAAGTTGGATTTTAGGGCATATTCTACCTTCTATATTTTCATTTCACGAGAGATCCATTTTACAGTGCTTAAACTTACCCCCGTTGCTAATGCAGCACGCTCCTATACTTTTTAAAATCTTTAACTGATCTTGTACTGGTTCCCGCTGCATAGAAACAACTGCATTTGCTATTACGTCCCTCGTTGTCAAGATTTTTCTTCTAGTTTGGACTGAAAATCCATGTAAATAGTTTAAAAACTCAAATCAATCACAATAATAGCTTTTTCAACACAGGTAAAATAAAAACATATTTCTTGTCGCAGACTATACAAGCACCTACATATCAACTACAACGAAATAAGAATAACGGATTTTTTTTGCATCTGAAAAGGATCCTAATATCAAAAAGACCAAGTATCAAGCTATTTTTGACAAGTAATGTCATCTCCATGATTCCTTAATACGGCTCAAGCTTTCAAACTCAATTTTTGAATCACTGCCTCACTCCATTTTTTGTTGTCGTGCTGCGTTCAGACTATAAATAAGTTGATTTGCGATCTCTTGGTTTGCGGTTTCAAGAAAATTCTACTATAAGATAAAAGTATTTTGACACCATCCCGGGATATTATTTTCGATGACCTCTAGGTATGCTCGTCTTGGTTGTACTTATCGAGGCCCCGACTTAACAAGTATAGTTCTTAGCGACTGCAGATATTCAACCCAGGCACTTATCAAGGTCAGAAGCGAAGTTTCATGCAATAATTTCGCCTCTTACACATCTAATAAATTTCTTCATCTTTCTTTATGTATGTAGGCTTTAAAGCATGTTTCTTCTTCAATATCAGTCTCCTAAATAGTTTAAATTATCGCAACATGTTTTTCTTGGTCTGCCAATACTTCTTCGTCCGTTTGGTGACGTATCTCGTACTATTCTATCCTCTGCCATTCTACTAATGTGTTCATTCCACTCCTGCTTTCGTTTTCTCGCTCATCCATTTATGTCTTCTATATTGCATGCTTTTATAATATTGTTCTGAAGCTATTTTCTTGTGGCATTGTAAATGAATTACTATTTAACTGGGAATAAGCCACAATTAAAGATAAAAATACGTTTATTGACGTTTCAATTTCCACTTCGGAAATCGTTCTCAAAATACAAACAGTAAATTAAACAAATTTTGTTTTTTGTTTTTTTCCGAAGTGGAAATTGAAAGTCAATAAACGTATTTTTATCTTTAATTGTGGCTTATTCCCAGTTAAATAGTAATTAATTTGCATGCTTTTGTTGAAAAATATTTTCATCTTTGTTGTTTCTGGTAGTCGTCTTGTTTTAGATATGTCAGGTCTTGTCTCCTCTGTGTATGTAACATGTTAATTACCACGTGAATGCAGTCTGGTATTTTGGGGATCGTGGCTTACACGATGTGCCGCACTTGTCTAGTATTTATATGGAAGTTAAAAATATATGGCCTGGAACGCCAAGTAGTGATTTTGGTATAAAAAAAAATATTATACCTATATAGCATATTTTTGTCACTTGAAAAAAAATACAAATTAATGATTAATTATTTTTTGTAATATTTAATCAAAAAATATAAAATAAGGTTACTTGAAAAATGTTTGAATTCCTAAAGACTAAAACAAAATCAAACGGAAAACATACTTCTAAACATAAGTAGTAATTCTTACATTAACATCTACATTATACCCACGCAAATACGATTGAAAAATAAAGACAGAACTTCATGTTTTATACACCTTTTGCTCTTCGTCTTCAGAGACGTCTTCAACTTGGATGCGATCGAAAGCCTTTGTCAGGTCTGTAAAACATAGATATGGTGGTTTACGGCGTTTACGCAGGATCTTCCGGATCTGAATCCTTGTTATTCATCTGATAAAGTTGTTAGTATATTGATTTTGGATATGACTTTTGTTGTAAGCTTAAGTGCGGTGTTCAGTATATTTATACCTCTATAATTGTTGGGGTCTTCTTTAAATCCAATAAATTTCTTCTTCTTCTCGTAGCACTACAACCCGGGGTGGGTCTTGGCTGACTGCACAACTTGGTTCCATCTTGAACGGTCGTCCATAATAGTTGGGTCAGTGGGTAGCCCCATTTTTCTTGGATCTGACCATATATTGTCTCTCCATCGTATTCGTGGACGTCCTAAGGGCCTTCTTCCTCCCATATTAACTTGGCCAGGCGGTTATTAGAGAGTCTATGGACATGGCCAGCTTATCTTAGACGTTGGGATTTAATCTCTTGGACTATGTCGCTCTGCTCTATACATCTGCTTGGCCTCATCATTTGTTCTCATTCGGTATTGGTTGCTATTAATGTCGTAATAAGGCCCAAAGATTCTTCTGAGGATTTTCCTCTCAAAACATCTTTTTCTTTCAATTTCTTTGGTCAAGGTCCACGTCTCACACCCATACATGAGCACCGGTCTAATCACCGTTTTATATATTCTAATCTTTGATGTTCGTGTTGGGCTTTTAGATTTAATAGTATTGTGGAAGGTGTACATACATCTGGGTGTACATACATCTTTCAAAGTTATATGGGTCTATTGTAACATTTTGCCCTATTTTATCTCGTCCCTTTTGTCTGTTGATGCACATGTATTTGGTTTTCTCTTCGTTTATCCTTAAACGAGTTTTCTTTGCCTCTAGCTCCAATTTATTAAAAGTTTCCTTCATATTGGTAACTGTGTTTTCCACAATGTCATCTGCGTATGCTATTAGTAATTTTGGTCCATTTACTGTCAGTAATTCTGTTTTAATTTGTGCTGCTCTTACTACTTTCTCCGGATGATATTAAAAAGGAAAGGTGACAGCGCATCTCCTTGTTTCAGGACACTGCTTATTTCGAAAGATTCTGAGAGTTTGTTACCTATCCGTACTCTGGATCTACAGCTATTCACACATAACTTAACAAGCTGGATAAGTTTTTTTGGAACTGAAAGGTTCTGCCATTGCATTCCACATCTGATCCCTTTTAATGCCGGAAATCTATAAAGGGATTATGGATAGTTCTATTGAATTCCCATCCTTTTTCAAACAGCTGTCTTAGAGTAAAGATCTGATCTATGTTTTCTAAAGCCTGCTTGGTATTCCCCCATGAAATTTTCTACAAACGGTGTCAGCCTACTTAATAGGATGTTCGATAAGATTTTATATGCCGTATTAAGTAGGAAGAAGCCTCTATAATTAGAGTACTAGGTTTTCCTCCCTTTTTATGGATAGGGATTATTACACTTTGGTGCCATTTTGTTGGTATTTTCTCTTCGTTCCAAGTGTTATTAGTTTATGTAGAGTTTCTCCTACGTACTTAAGGAATTCAGCCAGTATATTGTCCAAGCCTGGTGCTTTTTTTTCTTCAATTTGTTAATTGCTTGCAATGTTTCATCTATTTTGGGGTCCTCTACCGGTAGGTCCACCCCAAAATATATATTTTCTCCATGTTCTTCCTCTTGATGTATGTTTAGTAAATTCTTGGCATGTTTCGAGTTTTATTTAATATTAATTCATCATTTTTTCTGAGTACGGACACGCATCTAGCTCTGAAGACTTTCTTTTCGTTTGACACTGATTTATAAAATGCTCGACTATTTGACTGTTGCCTATTCCTTTGCATTTCTTCATATTTCTGTTGTTCGTATGTACTTCCTTTTTTTTCTCTCTAATTAATTTTCTTGTTTCTCGGCGTGAAGTTGCATAGTTTTCTTTACTTTCTGCTGTCCCTTGTTAAAGCATAATGTTTCGCTCTATCTGTCTGTCGTATAGTTTTTCTTGACATTCTCTGTCAAACCATTTCCTTGTTCTCTTCCTGCTTTTTCCTATTAATAGTTCTGCTGACTACGTAATTTATTTTTCCATTTGTTACCACAGCCTTTCGACATCATTGCTCTGGTCTACTGTATTTAGATGCTGTTTAATTTCTTGTTTGTAATTTTCTCACTTTGCATTTTCTCGATGTTCCACTGTCCCAATGCTTCGTTGGTCTTAGGGCTCTTAGGTTTCTCTGAAGATATTCTCAACCTGATTTTTGCTCTTACTAAGTGATGGTCTGTATCTCCATCTACTCCCTGAGGCTTCTTACATCCAGCACATTACTTATATGTCTAGCATCGATAATTACGTGGTCAATTTGGTTCCGATTTTCATAAATTTAAGTATATAATTTAATTTGAGATACTTTGCCTTTTAATTAGTCCATATAATTCAATGTCTAAATTATTCAGTTGCCTTATAGTAAAGTTCACATATTTGTTTAGAAATCTCTTAGCACTCGGGGGATAATAGGAGTATATATAAATTAACGTTATCTCTAATTCTTGCAAAAAATTTTTGTTCGCCTCTTGAAGACCAAGAATAACGCTGAACAATTCTTGGAATTTAGTGCCTACAATTTTGAAAATATACTCGAGTCAAAAAGTGTAAGGAGTTAGGATCAAAAAGGTTTTTAATAAGTTCCACATCGACTTTTATTTCTAACCGAAGATCACATACGAAAAAAATGATACAAAATAGTTTCTTATTACGTCACAACGATCAACAAAAACAAGTGTATACAGGCTTTGTTACTTAACCTACTAGGAAATAGTATTAATATAAAAAAATATCTAAAATAATACATATCATTAGAAATGAATTGGACGGATAAAAGGAAATATGTCTAAGGCATTATTTCAACATCAAGCAGCCAGTCTTAACATTCGTGTTTTGGTCAGTGCAATAGATAACTCGAAAATGACTGCAGATAATGTCGATTGCTGCAAGTAATGTAATGAGGCATGGAAAATCGAACAAAAATGCATATAAGGGACAGTTCAGTCTGAAGATGCACTGTTAGATGTTAAAAAGATTTTTTCTTCTGCTGATGTTTGCTTAACAGATTTTCTTTGATCCGACCCAGTTCATCACTGGAAAGGCGGAGGACAATATATTGTAGGAACTATCAGAAAAATTTAAATTATGTCTTTGAAATTTGATCAAAAAAATGTGCATACACACTAAAATATAAAATACGAATTTGAAATTAAAAATCGATTAACTGATTCTTAAAAAACTTTTCAAAAGGTACATCAACTGTAGAGTATTTTTCGAACGCTACGATAAATTGTCCATTTTTAACAGTTATCACTTAAGTTAATGAAGAGAGGACGCTGTTTTCATTACATAAAAACTATATACAAAACCAGCATCCTGTATGTTATCTTTGATTCAATATTTAAGTACTGATTCTACACAAATATACATAATACATTACTCAAAATAACGATAAGTACTTGAAAATACAGCTGGTCTTTTGGACTGTTAATACATTATAATTATTTTGAGTAATATAGTTGACAACCTCGTACTATTTAGTACAAGTTGGGTACCATATATACATCTATTCAAATAAAAAAGCTAAACCTAGTTTGTTTGAGTTTACGTCGCGTTTGGATCGATGAAGAGAGCAGAAAAGGCGAAGATTAAAAACACCACTCCGCCAATGATTGTAACTGAAACAAAAAAATTTTAATTGAGTAAAAACATATTTTACATATTTTAATTCTTTTACGATTTACGAGGTCTGGCAATTAAGTTCCGGGACTGATTTTTTTAACTTTAGCAACGATCAACTATATATATATATATATATATATATATATATATATATATAATATATATATATATATATATATATATATATATATATAAGGATCACTCAGACGAGTGGTGGGTTCTTATATCGGTCTCTATCAAAATCAAAGCTTAATAATCATAAAATAGTTGAATAGTTGGAAGTTATCTATGATTTTCTTGGTTCTTGCTCACTAATTAACATTAAATAACATTTAATTTACTTTAGACCACATGGTCATTTGCTGTGCTAATTTTATAAGTTCATATATGTTGTTAGTTACTTAATTGTTTATACAAGATCAGCGTATTATGTCCATTTACTTAGTTTCATTCACATTCTTGTTAATAACATTGACTGCTACATGTCTTTTTAAGGTAACAATTAACATCGTTTCCATGATTGTGTGGTTCTCATATTGTACTTTTTTAGATGAACTGATGATGCTTTCAAAACTCGAAAGCGAAACGTCTTCAAAATAGATAAAGTAGCCTATCAACTTTGTCTTTTATTTCTCCACCTAGAGACCGATATAAGAACCCACCACTCGTCTGAGTGATCCTTATATATATATATATTGGATTGACAGTCGTACTCCTTTTTTTTTCCGATATATATATATATATATATATATATATATATATATATATATATATATATACATATATATATATATATATACATATATATATATATATATATATATATATATATTTATATATATATATATATATATATATTTATATACATAATATATACAAAGCTATCAAGCTATCCCTTGACTTTTGGCAAAATGCAGCTGCAATAAGCAACCTTGTTGTAATCGTCGTTGGATAAAGAAAATGAGAATAGAGTGAATTTAAAGAGCCATTGTTAAGCAGCAATTCATTAATTATTAAAAAAGTGAGAGACTAATTTTGCATGAGGGACGAAACATGAAGAAAACGTGTGCTAAGAATGTGCCCAGACTCCTAACCACGGAACAGAAGATGCATTGTAAAGACATTTGTTCTGATACCCTGTAATGGATCGGAAAGGACTCAGACTTCTTGTCAAGGGTTAACTAAGCCCAAATCCAACGCGATGTTGATTACTTTTTGAATGATATACGGAATGGAATTCACATGAAATGGGTACCACAAGCTCAGACAGTTACTCAATATTCTTGTTTAGAAGTTGTACGAATACCCCAAAAAAAATTCACTTAAATAGAACCGAAATGTGGACAAAGGAACTCCTAGATCCTCCGCATAGTATATCAAGGATTATTTAGCCAAAAAAAACAGGTGGCAGTTATAGAGTATCCGTCCTATTTGCCACATATTTAGCAGCTTCAGACCTACCCCCAAAAATCAAATCCTGTCTGAAAGGAAACCGACACGAGTCATTAGACGCCGTATAATAAAAATGGTCGCAGCTACTCAACAGCCTGTCGGAAGATCACCTGCAGCACTGGTTCCCATAAATAAAGATGTTATACCAACAGTCTCGGAACTTAATTGTTATCTTTTTGTGTCGAAGTAATTATTATGTCATTTAAACGACTTACCTGTCCGCACGGAAATCTTTTGTGCAATCATCCTACCACCTAACACAGCCAAACCGGTGCAGGCACAATGACCTAGGATACCACCAATAATAACACCATATACATTCTAAAAAAGAGAAAACCAACACTGATTTAATAAGTATGAACATAATATAAATATAATCAAACGGTGAGAGCAAAATGAAAGGGAATTGGACATAAAAAATTAGGTCGATTATAGTCATTCTTCCTCGCCTTCATCTAGTTATAAAATTCTTTCTGTTGGTGATTCTAACTTCCGTTTCTCAGTCATGTTCTTCAGTGCCTTATCCGGTCCGAACCTCATTATCCGCATCTTGATTCCCAAATTGAGATTACTGCAGCACAGCAAGGATCTCAACTTGATAAATGTAGACCATGCCATTTCAATTCTGGATCTAATCTCTTGAGCGTAGTCGCATTATGAGTTGAGGGTAGTTCTGAGGTAAGTAGTGGATCTAATCTCTTGAGCGTAGTCGCATTATGAGTTGAGGGTAGTTCTGAGGTAAGTGAATGTGTCGACTCTCTGGATTTCTTCGCTACCTGCCATTAGTGCCCCGGGATCTAAATTTGCACGGCTGACAACCATGATTTTAGTTTTCTTAATATTAAGCTCTAGTCCGTATGTTACGATCACAGTTCTCACTTGGTTTAGTAAGGCTTGTAGATCATTTAGGCTGGTTGCTAGTAACACAATGTCATCGGCGTAGCGGATATTATTGATTTAGTCACCGTTCCCTCGGATTCCCATCTGTAGGTTTGTGAGGGCTTCAGTAAAAATTTGCCTTACTCCTCGCATGATCTTAACTTGGTCGGTCAGCCGATCTTCGACCTTGATTTGAGCACGCTGGTTCCAGTATAAATTAATGATGATCCGAATGTCCTTCTCATCCAATCCTACTCTTTGTAGGGCGGCGAACATCTGGTGCTGACAACGGTCAAATGCTTTGGCCTAGTCAATAAAACAAATATATACATAACAAAATAAAGTAGGATTTGTAAGGTGAAAAGTGCTTATCGTGTACCCAAGGAATTGCGGAATTCAAATTGCATTTCACCGACATTTTCTTTGCATTTCTTGGAAATTCTGACATGTATGATTTTAAGAAAAATCTGAAGTGCATGACTCATAAGGGTGATAGTTCGAAAATCTTCGCAGATCGTTTTTATGGTAGTGTTATAAATGTTGACAATAGCCATTCCTCTGGGATATTACCTGAATGGTACATGGCGTTAAACAGTTCAGTTAACTCCTTCGTGCTCAATTCACTCATCCCCTATATAAGTTTAATGGTATTTCGTCCGAACCTGTGGCCTTACCATTCTTAGACTGTTTTAAAGCCGCTTTCACCTCGCTTTCTAGTATTGACGGCCTTCTTATGCACTTTATTTCTGGAAGGTTATGTCGGTAGTCCCAGAAAAGTTCTTCGATGTACATTTTCCAGGTCACCAACTACTCCTTAACTGTTGTCGTCAGGTTCCCGTCTTTTTTATGTGGAGGTGTGTGTTTCTCCTTTTGTATTGATCAGTGGCTTCTCGAATCTTTCGGTGGATATTTATATGATCAAGTTTCACTTGGAGCTCTTCGATTAGTTTACTCTCTCAATCATCACTTCAAAATAATAGATGTGGGAAAGTTTTTTCTGTATCTTTTGTCTAGTTAAAGTGGAATTTGCTTCAAAACGATGTTGGACAGGCCATCACTACACACAGACACACCATAATTACCAACTTCTTTTGGCCTGAATTGGATTGTATGGACACCAACTACATGTGGTTTCAACAGGACGACGCTACATTGGACATTCTTAATGAGTTGGCCACGGATTCCCCCTAGATCGTCTTATTTAATCCCATTAGACTCTTTCTTGTTTATTTTATGCGAATAAACCATAAAAACCACAGCAACCCTTAAAGCCAACATTAGCCCCAAATACGGCTAATTTTATTCTAGGTAGAACAGTTATTTTAAACCTTAAATTTTTAAATCGTAAATCTAAAGTAAACAATAGGTCTTACTATTCCTACACTTACATATTTTCAAGACGAATTACTTACTTCTCTAGCACCCAAAATTATAGTTGTTAATTGAGATCTATCTCCCCATTCAGCTAAAAATGTTAATGTAAAGGATTGCAATAATATTCGAGAAACTTCATACCATACTGATTTGGTGGGTCTTCTATTGCTACTACCAATTTCTATATCAGGTAAAGCAGCTTCATGTTGCTGAAAATTATAAGTTAGTATAAGAACTATATATAGGTACAGTCGATTTTCGATAATTTGAAACTCGAGACACCAGAAAAAAGTTCAAAATACCACGAGGAAGTGGGAAAAAATTCGAGAAAAAACAAGCGTTTGATTAATTTTCGTGATTTATTAATTCAAATAGTTGTACAATTATATAAAAGTTTATTTGGTAAAGAAGTCCGTGAGCGATTTACATCTAGGGGAAGTGAGCCTATGTTGGACCCCTGTCTATGATGGACCCCCTGCTGTAATTTCAAATATAGAGCGGTTACATGCACATCGCCGGTTGCCGCTTGCGCAAGAACTTTGTAGTTTGGTATTTGCAAAGTTTCCCGTGGCGGTTATAACAGTAAATTTATAAAATTAAATTAAAATTTGTAAGTAATATTTTACTGGTAACATACATTAAGCTAAGTGTTGCTTTTATTTTGTTTAAAATGACTACACTTTCTTGTCAAATACTATACTTTGTTTTAGGTTAGAATGATCAAAACAAAAGTAACAGAATTAAATTTACTGTCTTGTCTATTTGCCTATGATGGACCCCTTTGTCGTTACCTATGACTGGCTAGGGGTCCATGATAGGAAAAAGGAAATAAGTCGCTACTTAACGATTAACATAATACATATTACAGGGATGGATCCTCATAAAAGGCAACAGTGGAATGAGAGTAATATGCAGCAAGCTTTAAAAAGCATACAAGAAAAAACTATGGGGTTTAAGCTGGCAGCAAAACATTTAATGTTCCAAAAGGAAGAAAGGAAGTACCAAAGGTAATTTGGGAGGACGAAGACCAATATTTTCCACTGCTATTTTTTGGCCTGACCAGTAAAGACTTACGAAAACTTGTATACGAAGTAGCTGAAAGAAACAATATTAGCCACAATTTTAATAAGGAAACCAAGATGGCAGGTGGAAAAGGGTCAGAGGCTTTTTAAAGCAAAATCCTCGAATATCATTATGAACTCCAGAAAATACTTCGTTGGCAAGGGCTCAAGCTTTTAATATATCAAATATATGTGCCTATTTTACAGCATTAGCACATATATTAGACGAGTTTCAATTTCCACCGGAAAACATATAACATGGACGAGTAAAATGTGCAAAAGAGATCGCAGAAGATTTAGGCTAGTAAAGGTCGCAAACAAATTGGTGCTTTAAGTAGTGCAGAGCGCGGTCTACATGTTGCGGTCGTATGTTCAATGAATGCAATTGGAACATACGTTCCTCCTGCTTTGATTTTCCACGACGATGCACCTACTGGAAGTGTAGCCTTCCCTCAAGAAAAAGGATGGATGACTTCCGACATTTTCTGTCTCTGGCTGCAACATTTTTTAAGGTATTCAAAGGCTTCTAAAACCAACCAAGTTTTCTTGTTATTCGATGGTCATGGTGGTCATTTCCTGCTCACTGTCTCATGGCGTTCAACCCTTGGACGTAGGATTTTTTAGACCATTTCAAACTTACTACGGCCAAGAAATTCAATTATGGCTGCGACAGAATCCAGGTAAAACTAAATTAAAAGTAGCCAGTATCTTTAATAGAGCATATTAGAAACGTGCTCTACCATCAAATGTAATATATGTATTTAAAAAGACAGGAATTCAACCGTTTAATCCAGATGTCTTCAAGGATTGGCAATTTTTGTCGTCTATAACAACAGATAGAGAAAATTATGAACAAAACCCACTAGCAGGATGTTCTGACGAGAATTCATTACCGAAGCATCGGAGCCAAAATGTTCCTTCGACTGAAGGCTAATCAAAAATCACTGATCAGAAATCAACATCATCGTCAGTCCTAAACATCTCGGTCGAAGATATTTGTCCTCCTCCTTTAGCTGGGAGTATCTGAAGCACCTCAGAAAAGGGGTAGAAAACGGGGTAAAACAGGATATTTAAATTCAACGCCAGAAATTGAAGATATAAAACAAAAAATTGCAGAAAAAAAAAACAAGGCGCAAGAAAAGTAAAAAGGCAAGTTCGTGTTTCAACTACAAACAGTTCTGAAGACGATTGTGAATCTTCTTTTGAAGAAGACGATTTGGACGATGCAGCTTGCATTTACTGTAACGAATTATTTTCGCATTCACGATCCAAAGAAAAATGGATTCGTTGTCAAGTGTGTAAGAATTGGTGTCACAATAAATGTTCAGATGTAAATCCTGGACGTAAACAATTTGTGTGTGAATTGTGCACGTAACTTTTTTTTAAAAATACCTATTTGTAATACTATTTATCGTTTAGAATATCTTGATTTAATAAAATAATTTGGTATTTACTTATTTTATACAAAATGCAACGGATCCATCATGGGCGTATCAAAGGTCCATCATAGCGCATACATGCCCATGATGGACTCTTAACAGGATTTTAGTAAACTATGAATAACTTTTGTCATCTTAATTTTTATCAAAATTTTAAATATTTGCATATTATACAAATAACGTTATGTTATGGCTTTTTCCTTTCCCTTTCCTACGTGGATGAGAACAAAGGCAAACGAAGAGAGACTATGTGTTTGGGAAAGAAAAGTCCTAAGGAAGATCTTTGGTCCTGTGCTGGATGAAGCATCAGGACAATATAGGATAAGAACTAACAAAGAGCTCGAAGAACTTTACCCAGAACGCCAACATCATAAAAGAAGTAGAGTCCAGAAGACTCCAATGGGCAGGACGCCTCAGAAGACATTCTGACGAACGAACAGTAAGACTGGTGTGATAGGAAGTCCCAACTGGAAGGAGACCACGCGGACGCCCTCGTCTCCGGTGGCGAGATAATATAGCAGGAGACCTACGCACTATAGGTGTGGAGAATTGGATGGAGGTTGCTCAAGACAGAAAACAGTGGAGGCATGTTGTCGAGTCGGCTAAAACCCACGAAGGGTTGTAACTCCACGGAGTAAGTAAGTAAGTTTTTCCTTAAGGGGTCCATCATTTATCTTCTTCTTCTTCAATGCAAATCCACTAATGGATGTTAGCGATCACATTTTCCATTAACTCTCTATTTCTTGCAATATGTATCAGAGATTGTATGTCGTTAATCCCTGTCCATTGCCTTATGTTTCGGAGCCAGGACATTTTCTTGCGTCCCATTCCTCTCTTGCCTTCAATTTTACCCTCGATTATAAGTTGGAGGAACTGGTATTTTTCATTTCGCATGATGTGACCTAGATACGCCGTTTTCCTTTTCTTGATGGTTTCGAAAAGTTGGCGTTCTTGGTTTATTCTTTTAAGGACATCTATATTTGTGATTTTCGCTGTCCATGGTATTTTTAGGATACGGCGATAAAGCCACATTTCGAAAGCTTCCAATCTGTTTATATCTCTCGTTTTGAGTGTCCAGCCCTCTACGCCATATAGCAGCACTGACCATACGTAGCACTTAGTAAACCTTAGTCTCAGTTGAAGATCGAACTCAGAACAAGTCAGTACCTTCTTGAATTTTACGAAAGCTTGTCGAGCTTGCTCAATGCGACATTTTACTTCCCTGTCCGATGCCCAGTCTTCAAAAAGCCACGATCCCAGGTATTTAAATTTACTCACTCTTTCTATGGATTTACTATTCAGTGTTATGGTGGAGTTTTCAAATGCATCCAAGTTTCTGGAGATGATCATGAATTTGGTCTTTTTGGTATTAATCTCTAGTCCCATTCGCTCACTGTATTCTCCGATTATAGTGACAAGTTGTTGAAGATCGACTATGTTGTCACAAATTAAGACACCATCATCAGCATATCGTATGTTGTTGATCAATACTCCATTCACCTTGATTCCCATCTCTGCATCCTCCAAAGACTCTTGAAATATGGCTTCTGAATAAATGTTAAATAAAAGAGGGGAAAGCACACATCCCTGTCGAACGCCTCTTCTTATATGTATGGGCTTAGATATAGAATTGTCTATTTTTAGCTGTGCCGTTTGATGCCAGTACAAGTTTTCAATGCATCTTATGTCTTTTTGGTCTATATCAACTTTCTTGAGAATCTGCATTAACTTGTGGTGTTGGACACGATCAAACGCTTTTTTGTAATCTAAAAAGCATAGGAACACATCCTTCCTCTGATCGTAACAATTTTGGACCAGTACCTGTGTTGCTACTATTGCTTCTCGTGTTCCTAAACCTTGCCTAAACCCGAACTGGGAATCACTGATGTCCCTTTCACATTTTTTGTATAATCTTTGATGTAGTATTTTTAAGAATATCTTTAAAGTGTGACTCATCAGGCTAATGAGTCTGTGATCCTCACATCTTTTTGCATTGACTTTCTTGGCAGGGGAATAAAGGTAGAGCGTAACCACTGTTGAGGATAGCAGCCAGTTTCATAAATTAAATTAAATATTTTGTGAAGTGCTGAAATTCCCCTTTCATCTAGTAATTTGAGTATTTCTGACGGATCTCATCTGGTCCAGGTGCCTTATTGTTTTTTGAATTTAATATTGCTTTTTCTATCTCCTCTTTGGTGATTGAAGGGCCAGTCAGCTGGTCGTCTGTATAAACTTCACTCATGGGTCTTTCGTCATGGAAGAGCTCCTGGATATAATTTTCCCATATATCAATTTTCTCCTTTTCACCGAGCACTATCTGGTTATCCTGATTAACTATGGTAGTTGGTCTTCGTTTTCTGTATATTCCAGCAGTCTCCTTAAGCTTTTTATGTAAATTACGGTCGTCGTGTTGTCTTTGTAAATGTTCTAGATCGATACATTGTTGCTTAAGCCATTCATTTTTTGCTATTCTTATTTTTGCTTTTATTTGCCTGTTAATGTTTTCATACATATTGCTGCCATCTTGGTTATTCTTGTGTCTTCGTCGTTCTTCCATTAGTAATAGTATTTCTTCTGTCATCCATTTTTGCTTCTTGTTATTTCGTTTGTACCCTAAGTTCTTTTTCATGATGTCTGTTACAGCACTTGTAATCGTATTCCATGTTGGTGTTATATCTTCGGTAATGTTTGTCGTTAATATTTGAATTTGTGCGTTTATTTCATTGCTTATTTTTGCTTGTATCACTGGGTCTTTCAGTTTATCCAGTGCTATCTGTTGTTGAGTTTCAGGCTTGTTCTTGCATGAAAGAGCGATCTTTATGACGGCCACTAATAGTACGTGGTCAGAAGGGACATCTGCTCCAGGGTATGTGCAAGCTCTTTGACAGTTGTGCTGAATCTACCGTTTATAAGGTAGACGTCTATCTGTCCAATAAATATTCGATAATGGTGAGAGCTGGGAATAAATCGTTACTTGTGTCAATTCTGAGGGCGTAGGATCATAGGTCTACGCCCAATGCCTCGCTCAATGTGCCTCTGTCTGCCTTTCAAAATCATCAACAATGTCAATGGTAAAATGCCGAACTGTTTAGCGACATCTTTTTCTATTTGTCCATCTTCCACAAATTGAATCACATACTTTTTTTCTTATAGAAAGATCCTTGTTTTTCTTGAAGACATCTTAAAAACTAATAACACCAATCAAACAATAACATAATTCACTTTAATATTAAAATCTTGAAAGAAAACCAGATTGCTAACTGCGAACTCACTCATATTTCGTTAGAGTAAACAATCGACAGGTATGTATTGATCGACCACTATATCTGAGCGGGTCACATTTTAGCCAGATACGCGTGATCAGGAGAAAGTATTCAAGAAAAGAGATAAAACACCGCTCTGTATTTCATCGTAAATAGTAATTTTCAATACAAGATACAAGGCCGGCCAGTTAAGTAACTTAAACAGTTATTTACATTTTTAAGTAATAATTCAACAAATTAGTATTTACTTGATATTATAAGGTTAATGCTCGAATAAATGAACTTGAAAAATTAAGGCAAATATCGAGCACAAATTTAATAATCAAATCTTGCCCAAGTACTTTCGCTTTCTACAGAATCATCAGGGGCATTTCGTCAATTTCTTCATTCTCTCTCCTGTTGCCGACAAGAATGTAGAGCGTAGAATCATTTTTAATCATTTTAAACTGTTTGTCCTTGTTTTAATGTAGTGTTGTGTACAATTTATGTCCAATTTCATGTTTATTACATTCTGCGCTTGCTGGATAGCCCAAATTTGATGAAATGCCCCTGATGATTCTGTAGAAAGCGAAAGTACTTGGGCAAGATTTGATTATTCAATTTGTGCTCGATATTTGCCTTAATTCTTCAAAATTAATGTTTATAAAGATAGATTTAAAAATATATTATTTAAGGGATTAATAATATTATTTATTAGGTTAGGATTAATAATATTATAATGGTCGGCCTGTTCAAGTGTACATAAATGTAAATAAACAACAGTACAAATTATATAGCGTAGCCAATTCCCCCACTTCAAATTATTGAATTTCAACTTGCAAGATATAGTTCCCTCAAATTCAAAATCATCAAAGGGATCAGTTAAGATTGATTTTATTCCTTTTATCGAGTATTTTTATAGGGAGAAAACTGGGAGAAAACTTCACATTATCGAGAGATTCAAATTATCGAGAATTGACAGTACAATATATAATATTAACATATTAATAGGTGATTCACAAAATATCGACACTGATGCTGTAAAACAAGGTATTATAAATTATTATTACTACTATTCTTATTTATTATGAACGTAATATCGTTTTGGGAAAGTTTCTTAATAGAGTTATATCAAAGTTAACAGTTTCTGCGCTGCACTATTTACACAGCGCTATTTCGACAGTTTTGACACTGCCTTTCCGGCTGTGAACTCGTTGAGGATCATCTCTTTTCATCATCCAGCAGTAGTCTGCTAACATGCTCACGTTTCATCTTCCTTAGTATCTTTTTTCTTGTTTTGGCACTGACATCAACAAGGTTTGCCGGGAAGTAGTAAATATGTGAGTGGAGAAAGTGAAGTTTAATGCTCACGTTACAGTGCAGCTTCGTTAAGTTGTCGATCATGTCTGCGACGATTTTCTTGTAGTTTGGAACTCTTTTGTTAACCTTGGAAACCGGTAACAACTAATTTAAAAGATTTCCATGCTGCCTTTTCATTTGTTCCCATTTTGTCCACAAAGTTGGGATCTGTAGTGGATAAACCGGGAAACTGTCCACAAAGATATGTAGTAGACAAACTTTTTTTATGTAGTGTTACTTTCTGTCTACACTGTTCCATTCACAGAGAAATCAGGGCAACATTGTAGACACTTTGTTGACAAAGCAGCATTGAAATAACTTTTAAATAACCAGATACTGTCCATTTGTGGTCTGAACAGCAGAATTTGCTTATAATCAGTTCAATGTTTTCGTAACATTACTTTAAGTGAACCGAGTGTCCAACTTGTATAGAAGCATACTTATTACCACTGTGTAGAAGTACTGCTTTAAGGCTTCTTTTTGTATAATCAATAAAAAGTCTCCACTCATTAGGTGCATATTCGAGTTGTTTGAAATGTGCCATAAGTCCAGGAACATCACTGCACAACACCAGGATATCTTCTTGGGAGAAGAAAGATACAAATTCCTCTTCCCTACATCGATACCAAGAAAAGGATGTAACCAGAGTAATTCAGTTCAAATTGTGTGAATGGAATGGGATAGGTTGTGCCAGTTCAAAGTGTGAGAATGGAATGGGATTGGTTGTGCCAGGATCGTAGTAATCACTGTTTTCTTCACTATCACCTTGCTGATCCAAAGGCTCGTGATCATCATGTATATCATCCAAAGAATCTGTAGGAGAGGATATTGACACTTCAGGTCCATGAAGGACAGGAGAATGGCTGATTGAATGTTACGGTAATAAATATTCTTTTTGTTTCTCAGATTAAAACTTCGTACGCTGGCAAGAACAAAAATAGCAGTCATGACTATGATTTTTGGCTCCCCCCAAACCACTGGTATTCCAAAATGTACGGACTGCTTTTTACCTTGAAATCATTGCCTCAGTTCTTCAACACACACTGAACAAACCTTTTTCAACAAAATCGGAAACGTTTCTTTGTTGCTTTTTACGATAGTTACCGCAACTGTAACAGAAGCAATCTGGCGAGTTTTGGGCATCTGGCAAATGTCTATATAACACAATAACTTCACAACACAAGAAAACAGTCACTACTTTAAAGCATTAGTAACAACAACACGTGAACTGCACCGAGTGAGGGGCTGCTGTGAACTGCAGGACAGTATCAAAAACAATTTTTTGGTCGCAAACCTGTGTAATTGATAATGTGACTCCAAAAGTTTTTTACCGCTATAAAATCTTTTTTATGGCGGCAAGAAAATAATAGGAACTGGGCTACTTTCACCTCCCGGAAAAGTCGGAAAATTCCGGAAAACAATTTTTTTCCATTAAGAAAGTTTCTAAAAAATGCGGTCCTCCTTAATTAGCTGACGAATCGCATCAATGTTTTGCTGTATGACTGCTGTTCTGGATGGACCTGGCCTGGACTCGTCGTTGAGACTGGAGCGACTACGTTGAAAGTTCACTGGTGATGATGCTTCATTTCCAAACACTGAAACCATTTCAGCATTGTAGCAATGCCAACATTGCTGTTGGGATAATCCTCTTCGAAAATTGTAACATCTCGAATATGTTCTCTGCTAAGTTCCATTTTTAGACCGACTTGCTATTTTAAAAAATTTACTGTATCTACACGACGTGTTGTATCGCAATGAAACTCTCGATTTATGCCAACAAAAGATTGAGGTTACATTTGTGTCGGAAGTTTTATCGGTGGCGCCCTCTAAGCTGGTATTATCCAAAACTACAAAGCTTTTCTTTTTATTTAATCGATCTAGCTGAGAATTAGCACACTTCAATAACTCATTAACTATCATAATTTTAAGTAATTATATTACAATATTATGCAAAAAAACAAAGTTATTAACATTTATAAATGACTGCAAAAATAAGGGTGTTTTTCATTAATATCAGTCAATTTTTTTTGGCCATGATCAAAATTAAAGAAATTTTTTAAAATCTACAACTTTTATTTGAACAATTTTTCTCTAAAATGTGTCAGAAACGTTTTATAGACAAAAAAATGATATTTTTCACTTTTTATTATTGTAAAAAAATAAAGCAAAATCAGCTGTATGTCATTAAGGTTTTATCATCAGCTATCGTTTATATACCTTTTAGAACTTTCAAAAACCTATATACGATTTTTCAGCTGTTTTTTTCTTTACTGATCTAAGAAGTCTGAATCTCAAAATAAAAAGTTTCAAGCATCAATATCTTTATTTTGTACCACCATCTTAAAACCAAAGAGATATCACTCATATTTCCCCTTGCTGTATATCAACACGAATGTTTTGACATCACACTACTCAAAAATAATGTTCAATTACCTCATCTCTATCACTAAAATGTTTATTTACCTCTTCTCTCTGCCTAAGCTCCATTTGGACCTCTTCAAATTCCTCCCTTCCTTCGTCTTTTGTCATGTGGTAGCCTTCCCACAACATCTTCAAACCGAATATGGCAAAGAGAGCTGTACTGATGTAGTAGGTGTAAGCTCGAGGGATCACTGTCACCAACCAACCAAATACAGCTGAAAATTAAATAGCAAAATATAGTAATATGAAAAAAAAAAGAGTAAATACCTAGAAAAAAATTAAAATTAAATAAATGGAAAGATTAATGGAAATGGAAAGCAACAAGACTTAACTTGTAATGTAGTAAATGTAGAATTCATGGTTTGCATGAAGGAAACCAAATTGAATGGTGGAACCTATCCAAATGGAACTAGAGAGAGAAAGGACAGTGAAAATTGAAATAGAAATAATTAAAAAGAGAAGAAAAAGCAGAGTACCCAAAATCTTGAAAAAAGTCACCAGAAATAGTATAAGGATATAGTCAAACAATAAAAAAAGAAAAAACTGTACATTTTGAAAGCACACATTCTGTAGTGTTTAAACTGAACATTGAAATTAAATCGATAAAAGGTAACAGAAATCAATTTGTTGACCTTTAACAGGTTTGTCATAAATGATACAGAAACACATCCATAAATTATCGAAAGCCTGAGAATCCATTGAGTCTTGACTCATTAGCGCCGACCCATACTATTACAAGTTCAATAATATTTTCCATTACCTCATCCAACTTCCACATGTTTTCTTCTATTTTCAAGACATGGGCAACAGCATTCTTTCAATTTGTGGGATTTATGTAATCTATACTAGTTTGTATAGAAACTAGTATCATTGTCAATATGGGTGACAATTAGATGATGGTCCTTACCTTACAGTGCTTGCAATCCTTTCAATAAACCTGCAACGAAGGCTTGCCATGCACTTGGTACTGCTGTATCTTGCTAAACTTTGGCGACTGTATTTCCGGCGTTAACACAAGAGTCGTCAAGGTAATAAACTTTTCCTTTTGTTGCACGATACTCCCGAATTGAGCGAGTGTAATTACGTCGCAATACTATTTCTTCATTATCTGTTAAAATGGAATTCCGGTTTTGTTCCGACAAGAAAAATGAAGGTTTTGTTCTGTGGAACTAATCATCTGGTTTATCCGGCTTAATAGGTTATGTCACGTCATTATAATGCTGTCATTTAAATCAATTCGCCCAAATTTGATTGTCTTAGCACATTTTTCAAATGCTGAAAAAATGCAACATTGTTTAAATCAAAGTAAACAAGAAATTTATTCTATATTACCAGCTGATTAATAAGTGAACACTTCAAATGTTCTAACGAAAAAGAGGCCTGGAAACAGTTGTTACTTTCTACAAATTTATATGACAACATCCGAATATCCTCAAAACAAGAATTATATTTAGTTTGCTCATACATACAGAGAGGTAATTTCAAAACAGGCTAACATATGAAGGTGTTACTACTATGACTGTAAGTTGAAGTCATCAATGTCATAAGAAGATTTCATATATCCCTCTCATTTATATTGATCTCAGAAAGACAGCAATCAACGAGAACACAATTAGTGTTAACATGATGCACAGGACATATGAACATATGAAATATATAAACATCCGAGGTTCACTGCACCAATCAAGTCAAGGACTATATATGTAAAATTGACTTTTTTTTATTATATATTCACTAATTTATTTAATAATTTATTTTAAGAATCAATATTATATGCCATTTCAAAATTAAACATCAAAAAATGATAAATTTGACTTAAATTGCTAATGCCAATTCTCTTATTGAGGGCAGTTGGATGTTTGAGAATATAAAACATTTCCAAAAACTGTATTTTAGTGTAATTCCTTTCGTTACAAAGAATTGTAAAATCTTCATTTTTGCTTAATGAAAAGGGGAACTTCTTATCAATTTTTGCCGCTGATATAAAACAAATATCTCTTATCAAATGAGCATAAAAAATATTTAAGTAACAAAAGAATTGTTTAAACAACAAATCTTTATTATTTACTAAGACATGATGATAAAGATAAGATGACTTCAATAAATCTTTTATTGACGTCTTTTTATAGTATTTAAATTTATCTGTTGGCACAATTTTCTATGAGAATCAATATACAATATGGCACAGCAATACTAGTTCTAACAGTGTATGCAAGAACTCAAATGTTTTTTCAGTTAATCTTCCGACATTGCAATCTGTGGTAGCCCATGGTGTCTGAGTTTGGGAGAGGCCGTAAAAATTAATCTGAAAATTTTGAACAGATAACAATCTCTAAGCAGTCCATCGTGATTTTATTGTTTGAGCGCTCTGTACTTGCCTTTGTTTGTGTAAAATAAAACAATCATTTTTTTTTTTGAACAGTTGATTCTATGATCTTTTCGAGAAATTAAATTTTTCATAATCTTTCCACAGAAATTATTTATATAATCATGGATCAAGTTTCTGTATATTGACAACAAAAGAAACTATAACAGGTAGTTACCAACCTCCAATACTGTTCCGAAGTCATAAAACGTTTTTATGTGTTTAAAACTAAAAACAATATTCTGATTGCTGTGGTAAATGGAGTTGTCACAATAGTTTCTAACAATTTTAGTTTCCACAGATAATTTCCTTTAGATCTTGCAACAAATATGTCACTTCTAATTTCATTTTCATGAAACTATGGCTATGGCTTGACACATAGAATAAAAAACTACAGCATTTAAAAAATCGAGACATTTCGTGAATATTATATATGCCTTAGTAATAAACAATTCTGCAATCTATTTGTAAATGGATGGAATGGACAAATCACATTTGCTTCACTGAGAATGATCTAGTGGATTGATGGTTCAAATCCTCGCTAGAAAACAAAAGGCTAACATAATAGTTTAAAATCTAAGTGGATCTACTACTTTAGACAAGAATATTCTGGTGTATCGTATCAACCTATGTATGAGCAGTGTGGTAAGATATGTGGTTAACTGCTCAGTGTTACTCAGTCCATAGATCCCTACCAGATGAGCTTATATGCTTAAAAAACCAGAATGTAGATGTACGTTAGTAAATGACCTTGTTTGCCTTTTCCTTTCATTTTTTTTTTCAGAGGGTGAGTGAAAATGTTGTAGAGCACTACTGGATGTATGACTGTGAGGTAGTAGATTTCAGACAGCAAACACTTTTTGGAACCAACCAAGTACCTCTAAAAACATTTTTTTACACATCCATTAGACTTGTACAAGATAGTATAAGGTTCCTGAATTCTAGAATGAGTACATAAATGACTGGACGATAAAGAAGGGGACAAACAGTACAAAAATAAACCTTCAAAGTGAATAAAACATTGTTTGTAACATAAGTATCAATAAAAAAAGAAATATGTTATTGCTAGAATGTCTTAACAAAAACAACTGAAAAATGCACTTACCAGATAAAACTGTCATTAGAATTAAAGCACTAATGGCACCAGCAAAGACTGTTAACCTTGGATGTTTCATTGCCATAATTGCTGCAATGAAGAAGGTCTTATCTCCAATTTCTGATACCAGAATGACACTAAGACTAGCCACAAATGCATGAGTAAAGCCCACATTTTCTGAGTTTGCTGTGCTGCCAGGTGGTGCAATGGTCACTGTCTGAAATATAAATGAAGTAAATTTTATGTTAAAATATAACCCTTAAGTTTTTTTGGACTGTGCCCTTAGCAAATACACAAAATAATTAAGAAACAAAGAGAGAGGTCTTCCTAACAAAAGAGATCTCTCTTCTCGTTAAGATTTGTTCTATCTTCAGATGAAGGAAATAATTTTGAGGTATTCGAAATGTATGAACAATGGGACTTTGCCTTGTTTCTGTTGAAACTGAAGTAGAGTTTTGTTGGTAAGCATTGAATTAACAAAACTAATATTATTATGTCATCAAGGTTTAATACATTAAAAATGCTTTATGTATACATGTTTGATAAAAATTATTCAATACAATAAATATATTAGTGGTCTTGTCAATTTTGGTTTGGTTTGTTGAGTTTCAAGTTTCACAGTAGGTTGATAGATTGATTTATGGGCGAATATTGAATTTTATATAAAACTTTATGCATGTGCTTATTATGGAGGCTGATTATAGAGGCTTTTATAAGAGGAATGTGTATTTAGTTTGAATTTTGTTTAAAATGTTAAGTCGACATTTTTCTTGTCTAAAAATATTTTTATTGGTTTTTGGTTGTCAAGGTATGCATGTATCATACCTTCTGTGCAGCATAACTCCTTTAAGATATTCATACTATCATACTGTATACTTTTAAATAATAGGTGTGACATATTGCAAGAGAGAACAGTAGTATAAACAAACAGGATAAAACTAACCATCCCTATAAAAAAAACAAGCTAATAAATAATAAGCGCTTACCAGAGTTGGTTTATCATCTTCGTTTGGCTCTATTTCTGCTGAAGTAAGGAGAACATGCAGTGTTATTAAAAGAATACATAATATAAAACGTGTCCTAAGAGATGGTAGCAACATTTTAAGAGTGCAGTGTGACTTTTTAGTAATATAGTAATATGTCGCGATATATCTTAAAATCTGACATTAGTAGGTCTTATCTTTTGATAACGGAGATTATGAAGATATAAAACGAATGGACTACTTCATATAAATAACTTTATTTAATTAGTAATTAAACTATCTTGTCAAAAGTGTCTATGCTGTGTCTTTGTCATTGAAATTAGACCAATCCAAGTCTCCCTAATTAAAGCCACGTGAAAATACTCAACCAATCAAAATAAACCATTTATGACAACTAATCTGAAACATATGATAGTATGTCACCAAGATGTCACCTGTTAATACCACAGACTGTGGTACTATATTACAACAGTCACATGACGAAAAGGCCTATTGATTCCATACATGTATATACTATTAACAATTGTCTTATATACGTTTTATTTCTTATTTTTTAATTCATCTATCCTAACAATTTCAAGGACCTAAAGAATAGAATTTCTGATAAAAATCTAATAATCTTCTTTTTTTTATTAGTTTCAGTTTTGGAAATAATAAATCAGAAGAAGAATATTTGTATTGTTATTGTCTAGGTTTAAGGTTATTCTGTGACTGGAGTTTGAATTGAAAAGCTATTGCAAGAAAATTTAATTAATTTAAACAATGAATTTAACTAGTGATCTTATTCGAATACAGGGCATTTTATCAAATTTAATAAAAAACACTGGTGAATTTACAAAAGTAAATTATAGGGGAGGTAATTTCAATTTTTCAATAAAATTCATGTTTATCTTTATTCTTATTTAAGTATATATCTGTTTGAACCATATATTTTGCTTTAGGAAATGAGGATGTCATATTAAAAGTCATGCTAGAAATTCAGTCATTTTTAAAAGGCAGAAAGTATATTACAGAAAAAGACATCCCAAATACAAATTATGACATGCAGCTACAAGATATTGTCCTCTTTCTTGCACTTAACACATCATACAAGCATTCTTTGAATATGGAGGAATATTCACACCTCATCAACATCACACCCCCTCTATCAAAGTGTCTCTTTGCTAATGTTGTATATGGGCTAGATCTTTGTAAGTACTATTGTACAGTTATTGAAAAACTGCCAATAAAACATAGTGTGGAACTCTTGGATGAAGTATCGCAGTGTTTGAAGAAGTCTACTCCAGATATACATCTAAAATATGCCAACATGTTCCTTACGGCTACTGCAAATAAAATATCCAGCACTACTTATTCCAGCGAGGTCAGTTTCACTATAATAATACTATGAAAGAACTTAGATAAAAACTTCATTGTATATGTCTCAGAATGCATGATTTTAATTCAATATTTTGGTATAAACACAATTAAAAGTTCCAACAAATTTTTCCTATTTGTCTGCAATCACCATTCACCACCATTCACAGCTTCTTAATTTGTCATAATCATATATAAGAGATAAAATATAATATATAAATGTTTTTAGGTAGAAGATGATGTTAGCAACTTATGTGAAGTAACTAATCTAATATTAATGAATCTATCTGGTATGTATACCAACCAAATAAAAGACTGGAAAAAAGTTAAAATCTATAACCACATGGGACACTGTCTGTTAGCTTTCTTTCAATTGTTATTAAGATGTGATGAAAATTTAACACTGCTAAGACAGTTTTTGGAAAATGTGATGAGGTTTTGTACATTTATTATTAAGAATGTCACTGTCGATGTCTTTATTTCTTGGGCAGAGGTAAGAAGTGATTATATATTCAGAAAAAAATTATGATGTGTATTACAAAATTAGTATGATAAATAACAAAGATACTACAATATTTTTTCACTTAATAGACAAAGATCACAATCATATTTCCCCTAGTCTATCCTCCATATTGTGCATGAATGCCCATTATAACATTATACCTAATGATAAAACTGATTGTTTCAATCCAATCATACTTTTTCAAGTAAAATCTCTCATTTATTTTATAAGTACCTAGATCTAACAATCAAAATTCAATATGCTCTTTAATTTTGAAGATAAGTCAATACCTGTAGAAAAAACTGTATTGTCCATTATTCATCAATTTGAAGAGTTTGGTCTGTTTATTAGCTGAAGCAGATGCCATGTTCAAGCAGACAAACGGCTGATGAAGTTAACTTAAATGAAAAAACAGTGAGGAATATTTTAAAAAGAAATAACTACAAAAACAGTGAATATGATCACTTTATATCACTGATATATTGGGTTATTGATAAGATAAATAATCAAGAAACTGAGAAGTGTGAAGTCATTGAAGGTTAGTGATCAATATACTTACTGTTACCACTGTTATTCAGTATTATTCTTGAAGATCAGCAGAAATTAATAAATCGGGAATCATATATCATTATATACACCAGTGCATATATCCAGCTTCACAGTGGGGTCCGCCAAGGGTGTATTTTATCACCCTTGTTATTCAATTTATACAGTGAAGGTCAGTGAGGGCCTTATAATAAACAGTGAGCCACTTAATACCATAAGATATGCTGATGACACCATCCTTCTGGCAGCAACACTAGAAGAACTGCTACACCTTGCTGAACAACTAAATATATATTGCAACAATTATAGACTAAAAATAAATTTGAAGAAAACCAAGTTCATGGTATTTACAAAAGCACAAAACATCAAATTTAAGCTAGTACTAGATAATACAGAAATTGAACAAATATCTTCGTACAAATACCTTAGAGCATGGATCACAGAAGATACTGATTAGATAAAAGAAATAAGATACCACATTGAAATTGCACGGCCAACTTTTAATAGAATGAGAAAACTTATTTGTAATCTCAATATCAACATATCGCTCTGGATAAGAATGCTTTGATGTTATATTTTCTCTACCCTTTTGTATGGGGTTGTAGCTTGGACACTTAAAAAATCCAACATTAAAAACCTAGAAGCATACGAAATGTGGTGTTACAGATCTATTTTGAAAATATCATGGATGGATCGCAAAACAAACGAACAAGTACTCAAACAACTAGGAAAACAATACAAAGTTTTAAATTCCATAAAAATCAGGAAATTGGAATACTTGGGGCACATCATGAGAGGTGAAAAATATGAACTACTAAGGAATATAATGCAGGGTAAAATCAAAGGCAGACGAAGCGTAGAAAGACATAAAATCTCCTTGAATGGTTTGTATGCGGTTCAATTGAACTATTCAGGTGCTTAACCAACAAAATTATAATTGCCAGAATGATTTCCAATCTCCGATAGGAGCAGAACTTGAAGAAGAAGAAGCTCTATGGCTTAAATCTGGATAATAATGGAATGTTCATAAATTCTGTTGTTAATTCTTCAGTTGGTTTGACTTAAGTAAGATTGAGGAGAGTCTGCACAAAAAATTTCATAATCTCTGTGTCATTCTATATGGTCTTTATTCTCTTTCATTTGACTTATAATGATTAAAACTTATTTATTAGTCCTTGATGTTTTTTTAGTAATCTATTTTTTACTTTTTATTATAGCCAAGAAACACACTTTTTTGGCCTATAGTAATTTTTAGGGTTTCAGAACAAATTATCAGCAAGGTTGACAGGGGGCTTTCGTCTATTCTAGTGAATCTTCAGTCGCTCAATTTGTTTCATATTTCCAAAAAATTGACCAGATATATAATTATATCTCATATATTTATTTGTCCATGAAAACATTGAAATATTTCTAGGTGATTATGTTTCTGATCCTTTTTAGACAGAAGTGGATGACGAAAACCTACAAATGCTAATTTCTAATAAGGGGTATTTAGTTCTCGAAAGATACCAGAAGCTGCCTGAGTCTAAAGATCTTGTAGCTGTTCTGGGGTCCTTGGCAAAGAAGCCAAAATCAATAACTGAGCAAATTCATGAAGCTGATATTGGAAAGATGATCAATAAAATCAATAAAACTGACAGGGATCAAATACATTGGTTCAAGGCTTTGATCAGGACTCAGATTTTTGAAAATGAGGAATCTGCAAAATGTGTCAAGTGAGTTTTTTAAACAGAAAATACACAGTTTAAGAATCATAATTGAAAGAAATCTATGATAAGGTCCATTGCTCCTCTATCTAAATATCCAATCTTCTTTTTTATAATTGATGAAAACACATTAATGTGTTATCTCATGGCTATTTCATCAAATTTTTGACTATCAATGTTTGTTGCTATTTTAGAAAATGGTACCATTTATGTGATGAAGAAGATGTATCCCAGCTCCTAAACTGGTGTGTCCAAAAGAAGACCCCACAGTCGGTAGAGCTTACAGTAAAATGCTTATCTACATTGGACCTGGAAAAACTAACAGCTGTAGCGACGACATATTTCTACAAGAACAAATTCATCAAATTGCAAGCTTCAGATGTAGCCAAAACTCTGAGATCGCTGTTAAACAAAGCCAAAGAAGACAGTGATGTGGAAAATGATCTGGCCAAAGATATTTTAATACTCTTTATGCAGCAGCCCGTAATTGTACTGCCCTATTTATACGAAGAATGCATCAAGAACAGCTTTTACACCAATGTTTTGAAGAAGACCTTCGAGGTTTTGAAAGATATTATCAAGATTGATAATATCGGAGTGACAACTTTGCTTGCCGTGTTTGATAGCCAGCCTCCAAATGAGCACACCATTAACAACTGTATACAATTGTTTAAAAAACTTATGGAGATAGGAATTTTTAACAATGATGTAGTCCTGACGATTTTAGGTTCAATGTTAAAGAAGCATCATGAGGAAGGAAGGTTGGAAGAAGTAGATTTGGTGCTACAAATGTTTTTGGTACGTACTATTACACAAAATTTGATTTTTTTTCTATGAAATATACACATATCTAAAATGTCACCACTTAATACATACCATTCGATTTGAAAACTTATTTTCTACAAAGGTATGGAAAATTAATCTGTCAATTACACTGTTTTATTAAGGGCTAAATTGACAAGGCCTCAAATTTGTACGATTAATTACTTTTAAGTTGTAAAGAAAAGCTTTAACTTTTTAAAATAATCTTTATTTGCCTAAAATTTTACTAAACCAAGATTATTAAATGCGAAGATAGTCATGGAGCGTCGACATTTAACATATGTTCAAATGGGAAGTGCTGTGAATACAATTGAGTCTGGTCTTTAACAAGCTGACATTGCACATCATTTTGACGTGTCTTGGCGATAAAGGCAAAGAGAATGATGATGGCAATAATTCTTAAAAGAAAATGATCAGACTTTTGGGCCTTTGTGGGATTCGGCTTCAGAGAATTCTTGACATAATATTCGTCCAAGTCTTTCAAATGTCAGTGAGTTTCCTCTCTACTCTTCAAAACTTCTTTTATGTAAATTTGTAAGCTGTAACTTTTAGTTACTATAATTAATATATACTTTGAATCAAGCGAGAATTAAAACAAAAAATATCACATGTCAAGAAAGTACTGTACATGGTAGATTTTATGTACAAATTAGAAATACAGACGGAACTCATAGAAGCTACAAAAACTCTGTATAAAGGAAATAAAGTGTCCATTAAAGTGGGAACAAGAATCATATCAGACTTCACCACAACAAAAGGGCTCCTGCAGGGTTGTTCCACATCTCCAACCCTATTCAAAATATACTTAGAGAAAGCCTTGACTACATGGAAAAGAAAATGCGAAGGCATGGGAGTACCGGTACGGAACGAATACATACGTTAAGCTTTGCAGACGATCAAGTAGTGATTGCACAAGACCAAGACAACCTCAGCTATATGGTGAAGAAACTACAAGAAGAATATACAAGGCTGACCCAGATATTAACCTCGCGAAAACAGAGTAGGTACCTATCTACAAGTGAAGAAGACATAGAAGATCTACAGATTGATGACAACGTAACAATGAAAGGAAAGGATAAATTTCAATACTTAATGTTTATAATCACGAAAAAGGCAACAACAGAGGAAGAAATTACACAAAGATTAGAACAAACAAGAACAGCAATCCGACAACTTAACTCAGTATGGTGGGACAGACACCTAAATATGAAGACAAAAACACAGATTTATAAAACATTAGTGCGAAGTAGTACGACATATGGGCCAATATATGGTAAATAAAGCAAAGAACATCAGTAGAAACAGACATACTAATATATATAAAACAAAAAAGACTAAAGTGGTAAGAACTAGAAGACAGCAGATGGATAAAGAGAATAACCGAATGGAGCCCCATAGGAAGGAGGAAAAGAGGACGACCTCGAAGATCCTGGAGGAACGAAGTAGACGACGCCATGAGTAAGAGAGGCCTAAACGATGGAAAATGGGACAACAGAGAGAGATGGAAACGGTTGAGCTAGGGAAGGCAGTGACTACTGTAGAATCCCTGAATATATATTATATATCTTACCCTACAATTTGACAATATGTATATGTTTTAGGGGGATTATTTATCCCTTCCAATAATGGAAGATACTAAAGAACTACTAAAACTTATATTGACCATTATGAATAAAAATCGATGTACTTTTTTGACATTCGACAGTCTGAAGATGGAAATTGTTAGACATACAGTGGATATCTGTTGTGACGTGTTTAAACCTGGTTATAATTATGAAGGTAAGTTTTACGCAACACACGTTATAAGCTCTTTTTTAAAAATTTTTCCCTAGATTATTTTATTATTAACGTACCAAAAACTAGTTATTAAAGGTATGTATCGGCTAGTGATCTCGTGTGGGGTTACTAGTCCCACATCGGGCGCCTCCCATGTGAAGGATAGGGGAATGCCTTCAAATATCGGTGGGAAGTCATCACACTAATTTTTCCCAAGTAAATCATGCAAGTCAAATAAGCAACATAGTTCCCAGTCCCCGGTAGACCTTCAGTGGTCAGAGGATACTACGAACCCCCGGGAGAAAATTCAGAATTGCCACATAAAAAGTGAAAACACTTTACAAAATACTGCATACTTAAAATGAGTGAGAATGAAATGGGACATACTAGGAATGAATGAAGTGAGGTGGGCAGCACTAGGCAATGTCACGACAAATAACAGGAACGTATTCTACTAAGTACTTAGTATGGGGTTGGAATGCTGCCCAAAGCAGAAATGAGCTAATATGTTAAAAGCCTCCTACCAGTAAGGGCCCGAGTAGTGCTGATTCAATGTTGACGTTAACTTCGTGCATGTATAGGCACTCATAACCGAGACACAGGAGTTTTATACTGATATTGGAACACACGAGGAACAATGATGTCTATTTTTGGCATATTTTTGGAAGACTGGAATGCGAAAGTCAGGAGACGAAAAGGTGGATGTTGTAATGGGCCCACACGGACCGGGTATCAGTGAACAGAAACAACAGAGGCACGAAGTTTGTTGAGTTTTATCAAGACAACAATCTTGTTATTACCAATACTTGGTTTAAGCTGCCTAAACGACGAAGATAGACGCCAAGAAGAAAAAAAAAACTCATAAAAAGAACTACATAAATAACTAAAATAAGTTGCAGGTCTCTAGAAGTCCAAAAGTGTCTCTATAAAGGAAGATGAACATAATGAAATGGTAATAGAGCCTGAAAAGCAAAAACAAATTTGGGAAACATACAGACAATCTCCCCATATTGACGGCAGAAGTTGTGTGTGGTATAAAAGAAAAAAAGTTCAACAAAGCTCTATAGTACCAGAATACTTCAAACACCTCTGCGAGACAGCAGTTCAACGTCTATACTGAACATCTTATTAAGGAATCTTGGAGGAACGCAAAGAGGGTGCTAAAATCAACGGAATTATCATCAATAACCTAAGATACGCAGATGGTAGTGTGGTACTGGCTGAATCGGAAAAACATCTACAGATACTAATGAATGACCTGAGGAAATCAAGTACCAGAATGGAACTAGAGATAAACACCTCAATACTCTAGTTTTTGACTTGGTAATTCCATTCTTGTTCTGAACATCCGCTCAAATGTTTGTACAACACAAGAAGCCAGTGATATATCTCTGTAGGATTCTGTTGGATTTTGATCTTGAACATTGACATCATAATGTACTTACTATTTTAATGGGAATGTCACAATTGAAGGTTGAAGTAAGTTTATTGACGTTTCAATTTCCACTTCGTAAATCGTTCTCAAAATACAAATATTAATAAACAGCTTATTTAACTTTATTGTATTTTGAGAACGATTTCCGAAATTGAAACGTCAATAAACTTCTTTAACCTTCAATTGTGGCCTATTCCTATTAAAATAGTAATTACTTTAAAATGCCACAAAAAAATAGCTTCAGAACAACACATAATGTATTTCTTCAAATCTTCTGGATACTGAATTATTTATTATTAGCAAGGTAATTTTGCGGAACAGCGAAAGGTTGTATAATATTAAATGAATGGTATCGATACCAGGAGCTTTATTTTTGCAGTTTTTAATATTGTTCTGCAATTCTTTGATATCACATAGTTATTTCGTAGATTGTTCATTCCAATTTTATTGATATCTTTCACTTGAAGAGAGTAAACTGCTTCTTCTTGAACAGCGGCTTCATGGCGGCGTGACTTGATTTATAAAGATTGTTTCAACTCCCTTGCTACTATCTTACGGGTTCTGGTTCGGACTGATTCTTTGTAATTATTTTTTAATTTCCTAACCTCTCTATATATGTTTAATTCCATCCATCCAATGGCACTACAGCCCAAGCCGGGCCTTGGCCTCCTTCATTAAACCTCTCCAAACATCTCTATTTACTGCTGTTCTTTTCCATGAACGCGTTTTCAGGAGATTTTTGGCATCCTCATCTACCTCGTCTTCCCATCTCTTTTTTGGTCTTCCAACAGGTCTTTTTCCTTGCATTCTTGCGTTTAGTAATTTTCTGGGGATTCTGTTCTCATGCATGCGGGCCACATGTCCTGCCCATCGTAATCTCTGCAGTCTAGTGTATTGTGCTAGTGTTGGTTCAGTGTATTGTTCGTATATTTCGTTATTATATCTAATTCGCCAGTTGTTATTTTCCTTTATTGGACCCAGTATTCTACGCAATATATTTCTTTCGAACACGTCTAATGCATTGGTAGATTTCTGTGTTATAACCCATGTTTCACACCCATAACTTACTATGGGTCGGATTATTGTTTTATATACCTGGAGTTTTGTTTTCCGGTGTACGTCTCGCGATTTGAATATGTGGCCCATCGCGAAATAGGCTTTGTTTGCCAGCCTTCTATTTATTTCCGGTTCTTCTTCATTATTTTCGACCAGATCCATTCCTAAATACGTGAATCTATTCACGTATTCTATATCGTCTATAAATTGTTGTTGTTGCGCCTGTCTATTTGATCTGGTTTGTATGAGTAGTTTTGTTTTATTTGTATACAAATATACAAATAAAACAAATATATGTTTAATTGGTGTATATTTATTTGTTGAAGTACAAAAATTTTTTCAAGATTCTTTTTTGCGCTCTATTATTCATTTTTACACAATACCATTACTTTTTGTAAACAAATATAATTTATTACTGCATTTCAGTTACATTTATATTGCAAAAGAACATCTTTTTAGTTTTTTGTTTATATATGTCACATTTTTCATTTCACCAATGTTTATTATATTTCGGACTGACACTTTTCTTTTTACGTATTGAATTTTCTACTACTTTGTTTAATTCTACTATAAACTTACCATATCCTTCTAAATTATTTTGATTAGTACCTTATTCAATATTTTCAGAATATATTTTTCTTTGCAGTTGACATTACTATAGATGATGAAGATCATTTTACAAGACATTATAGAACCTTCCTCATATCTGGCAAACAACAGAAACTCTCTGATGATATTTGTGGGGATTTTAAGACGGACCAATCCAATTCAAACCTATATGGGTTATTAAAGGTAGGGAAGTAGGTTAAATTTCTCGATAGGGAACGTTCTTTGATTAAAAATAATGTTTTTCTTTAATAAAAACTTGAAAGTTAGTTCTAACGGAGTTACTTAGTAATACAGGACGATCAATTTTTGTGACAAAGTCCGTTATGTACGAGTTTATAGGAGAAACCAAAAAAAGATATTTACAAAAATAACTAACAGGTAGCTTTAAGCTTCACATTTTAAAATTAGTTACAAATATACAGGGCCGTTCGTAACACTGGATATAACCAAATTTCAATGAAAATCAAGTTCCATGCCCTGTATAATTGAAAAGGGATACAAAAGCAACAACCTATTGTAGCAATAATTTTTAAATAATTGTTAAAATTCATAAAAATTATAGATAATATACATAATACTCTTTAAATCTAATACAGGGTGAGTCAAAACACAAATTCATTATTTGCTCAGTATTTTTACAACCCTGTGTGGGTCCTAGCCTTCTTAAGAATTTCCCTCCAGTCGTTCCTATCCATCACTTGTCTCCGTCAATCACGTATTCCCATATTTCTTATGTCTTTATGGATGTTATCAAGGAACCTTATTCTAGGTCTTCCTCTTCTTCTCTGACCAATCAAGGAGCGTTTTTCTAGCTCGGTCATTTTGTTCCATCCGCATTACATGCCCTATCCACCTCAGACATATCTTAATATGTTTTACGATATCTGGTTCCTAGTATATTCTATAAAGTTCGTAGTTTCGCCTTAAAACTCTTTCTTCGAAACGTCCTAACATGTTTTCATTACTTTTTGTTATGATCCAGATCTCTGAACTATATGTTAGGATTGGTCGTGTTATTGTTTTGTAGAGTTTTATTTTTGTATTTCTCGATATAATTGTGGATTTATGGAGGAGCTTGAGAGCAAAATAGCATCTGTTGACTGTGCAAATTCTGTGGTAGTATTATTTTCAGTGTTAAGGAGTGCTCCCAGGTATACAAATTCGTTCACTGCTTCGATAACGTCGTTTTCTATAACAAGTACTCGTAGGATTTGTGGTTACGTGCTTATTTTCATATACTTCGTCTTGGTGGTTTTTGATACCTACATCTCTCGTACAGTGTTTTGCGTTCTCCCAACAATATTGATATCATCAGCATAGGCAAGGATTTCCACTGATTTATTGTATATTTAACCAATTATTGTCATTTGTGACATACATATTATTTGTTGCAGAGCCAGATTGAACAGTGTACAGGAGAGAGAGTCCCCCTGGCGCAGCCCGTTATTTGTTTTAAAAGGTTAAGACAGTTCCCCTGAATTCGTATTCTATATTCAACTTTTTTAAGAGTTAGTTTTGTTAAATTTACCAATTGAGTTGGTATTCCTAGCTCTTTCATTGCTTTGAACATTTCTCTTCTATTTACAGAGTCGTAGGCTGCTTTGTAGTCTATAAATAATCAATGTCATAATCCAGAGTATTTTATAAAATTTGTTTCGGGATTGCAATCTGATGAATTGTCGATTTACCACCTATGAAACCAGCCTGGCATTTTCCTCTATTTTATAATTGCTTCTTCAGTCTATTTTCTGACTATAGTCAAGTCTACTCCCTCTCTCAGGCCTCCCATACTCTTCATCACTTCGAAACTCCATTTCTTCATATACTTGTTGGCCACAGGGCCCTTGTGGTAAACATTCTTTTAACTTAGAAGTTGAAGATATTGACTTCCGATGGTAGCCTCATCTACTGCTTGTTCCAATTTGTTTGCGTTTTTTGTTAAAAAAGTCTTCTTGCAGTATAAAAAAGGAGACATGTAGAACATAGAAAATAATAGTCCCATCAATCTACTTTTTCATCTATAAAAATGTGAGGAGACCCCAGAAAATATTGGCAAGACAATATGCAAAGAATCGCTGAAACAAAATTGCAATCAGATCGACCTAAACAGAAAGACGTGGAAATAATTGGAAGAAACCTTTATTCAGGTGTGGATGCTGAAGACAAAGAGAGAAAGAATATACCAAGATAGAAACGAATGAGAAAGATAATCATAAATATATTTTTTAGGTTCCTAATTTATTTTCGACACTTAAAAATATTGTTTTTATAATTTTCAGGCTCTTCCGTCAGCAGTGAATAGAGAATGGTTGCAATTAGTCCAAGAAAACGATCGAAGTGATCAGAGTTGATAAATGTCTAGAAGTTGTAACAGATGTTATGATTCTATTGGCGCAATTGGCCGAAACACAAGATGTTTCCAACCAATCCATATACTCTGCCTTAAGATATTGTTTACGAAATTACGGCCTTGTGATGCAAGTAAGTAAAATAAATATTTTTTTATAAGTTTCTCCATGACCGTCTAATGGACTATCAAGTCTGACGTCACAATGGGCGGATATTTTAAAAACCTTTCCAAACATTTCTAATTTGTATGCATTTTTCCATGAGAAGTTGGAAATATTAGTTTTTTTAATTGGTTGAAGAATAAATAAGGACTTTTGGTTATGAAAGAAGAATATCAAAGTATTAAGATATTTACTATGAATGTTCATATTTTAAGGTTATGTTATTGTTTGATTAAAACCAATTATTTTTTTACTGTATTTCAAGGTATTTCGTTGTTGTTTTTATCAAGTTTATTTCAAAATAAAGCAAGAAATCATTGAATATCTTTACGAAGTTGAAAAATATTTAAATTAATGTTTTACTCTTTTGTAAAAGTTGGCTTCTTCTATTCATAACAGTTATCATGGATTCTTCAATCAGCCTTGTTCAGTTGTTCAAATATTAACAATGTAACACTAATCTTGTTATATACAATTCATAATGCTATTTAAACATTTTTAGCAAAAATTCCTTAACACAACCATAGAAACAGAAGCTGAGGTCAACCGACAGGTGTGCAAACTACTGATTATTCTTAAAGAACCTGTGAAAGAAGAAGAAGGACTATCCTTAGTAAACCTGCTTACTGAGAGATCCCTAAAGTCACTAGTTGAAAATAAAGACTTCCTATGCCATTTAATTTTAATAAAGAACAACAGGTTGGCCCAAGTGTTGGCTCAGAAGATGACTCAATAGTTTTTTATGTAGTTGATACAAACCAAATGTGAACGCTCATTGTATGCTGTATGTATGTTTTTTTTTCAGGTTTTATAATTTTTTTTTAATAAAATATAAAAACAATTGTTAAAATTAAACACATTTTATTTCATTAATACCACTGGTACAAAAATAGATACCTTTTATTCAACATTTTAAAGGTTGCTGTTTGGTGTGAGAGCCAGAACAGTGCGAATGCTGTAACAAAAGAAAATGATTAATACAATTATTAAAAACATTATGTCCCAAACTTTAAGAACCAAATGTGGCCATTGAGGGACATACAAGAAAAGGAATGACATATTAAATACATATATAAAAGATTAAGTCAGGCGGAAGAAAACTACAAGAGGTCATGATCCAAGTAATGCAGTATAAATTAAACAGAGTTTAGTCAACAGATCTGCTTAATATTTTTTGCTAGATGTTTACCTTCCTATTTAAAATTATATTACCCTTTTTATACATAACACAAGTACATACTCTTATATGTATTCATAAAGACATTACTAGTTTTTATTTAGTCATATCAAAAGTAAATGTCTAAAGTTACTTCTAAAATGTTTATAATCAATAAATTTCACTGCTCTAACTATAACTTTTTCAATAAAGGTAGTAGTTATTTCGTCAAGTAATATCTCCATGAATTGTTGTTACCAAAAGGAAATTGGTGTAAATAAGCTTTGGCCCTAATCAGCAAGAAGTTGATAATAATTTTTCAGAATAATTGATACATTTATGTCACATTACCACTCAATGGCATCATGTTATCTCAATGAAAACATTCCCCTGTCTTATGATAAAAAAGGTAGTTGTTATATATTGATGCTGTTATTAATAAAATTAAAAAAATATTTTTGTAAAAGAAGAATTAGCATATTGACAAATAATACTTAGTGATGTTTTTGAATGTTTTGCTATATGATGTCTATGAAGCCATTAGTAGTAGCATTAGTTGCCACTTAATTCTTACCTTAAACCTTTGTGCATGAGGTGAAAAGCTTCATTGATTTCTTCAAATTTCAAGGAATGTGAAACAAACTCATCTAACTTGAGTTTTTTATTCAAATACTCCTCTACAAGCTTTGGTACACTATCACGGCTCTTCCATCCTGAAAAGAGAGTTGTTAGAACAGACTTATTTTATGTCTTACTTAAAAACTCACCCCCAAAAGCTGTTCCTTTCCAGACACGTCCAGTAACCAATTGAAAAGGTCTTGTGCTGATTTCTTGTCCTGCACCAGCAACTCCAACAATAGTGGAAACACCCCAACCTTTGTGGCAGGATTCTAAAGCAGCTCTCATGGTGTGGACATTACCTACACATTCAAAGGTGTAGTCAAGACCTCCATCTGTCAGTTCTACTAGTACTTCCGTAATGGGTTTTTCATAATCCTTGGGGTTGACAAATTCAGTGAATCCAAAATTTTTTGCTGTAAAAATAATGATGGATTATAATCAGTGGTCAGACAGAAACATATTAGGTCTGTTCATTTGTTTTCTGGTAATACTAATTCTAAAAGTGTTGAAGTGCTACACCATGGACATATAATTTATATGTCCATGTGCTACACTAAGTTGTTCCTTTGCAAGGTGTAGTGCTACACCACTCCGTTCCATTGAAAAGTGTAACACTAGTGTAGATAAATCTACACCTGCTTCTTAGACTATCTACACTCATTTTGCATAGTATCTTCCAACTGTTTACAAAAAAAATATCTTTTTCTTTTTAAAATCCGTTAAAATAGTTTCGAAACACAATTCAGATTTCTGTTTATAATCTGAGCTTTCTAAAAATTGCAAGTCAAACAGACGTTGATAAAAGATGTTAAAAGGGACATGGAGAATCTAAAATTTGCATTCCACGACATGTCTTTTACAACTAAGCAGAAATCCTTAGCGAATTGTGCTTCTAGTATTCACACAGAGTAGATCCGAAATAAAATGAAAAAGACAGCAAATATTTGATTTCACGCAAACAATCCTCATATATCTGTTTAGAGAACTCCTATGAATAGTGGTTCTGATGAGACCTATTAGGTCGAAATACGTATCAACAGATACATGGGGATTGTTTGCGTAAAATCAAATATTTGCTGTCTTTTTCATTTTTTTTTCTTTTTAGTTTACTTGAAATTTAAAAACATTAAAAAACTTAGTAATGTTAAAAACTAAAGTACCTACAAATTTTAATTTAATCTTTTATTTGAGTTGATAATTTTATTTCAACACACATTTTTAAAAAAGATACCTAGCTAGTTATAATAAAGTATTTAAATTAAAGATGAAAAATCAAAAGTAGAAGAAAAAAAACTAAAAAAAATGAGATAAAGTCATAAATAACCTGACTAAACAGCAACTCAGAAGTTAACTACACTAGATCATTCCTTTGTTTAGTGACACAGCCATGATTTTCGTTTGACATTAGACAGTGTTGGCTACACTCAACTCTACTAGAAAATGGTACACTATAAAACAAAGGAACAGATCTATTATGTTGTGATAATTTTTCGACTGTTATAACAACCATTCAAATTTCGTCATTTTGTGTCATGTGGAACAATTTCACCCAATCATGTCAACATTAGACTGATAATTGCATTCAGTGCAATTTTCAATCCTATGACAACACGATCGAGTTTGACAACTTCATCCAAATAAATTTCAAAATGTCACGTTTCTATAAAACCATACTTGAATCTCGATCAAGAACACCACAACAAGATTCTAAATATTATGCGTGGTAATAGATCTTCTATAGTAGAGAACAGCAACGAATCTAATGTTAACTTAAATTTTAATAATTGTACTTTCACTAAACTGTACTTTTAATAAATAAATGTTTCGTTATATTGAGTTATGATTTTTTTTTCGAAAAATTATCCGCCGAATATCCCTGACATTGATGAATGCCTCATATTTTCATGACAAATTTCTCAAGCTTGTTGCTTGGTAACAGCACTCAGCCTCTGGCTTCGTGCTGTTAACAAGGATGAGCATTCGATTGTCATGAAATTATCTCGTCTGTTATCAATGTCCTAGGGATATTACTACTGATAACATATTTAGATGTTAAAATTGTATATGATGATTTAACTAACCTATTTTGAATTTATCTGAGTTCAAATCAACCCAATGATTCTGGAAGCTCCAGCAGCCTGACATCCTAATCCTACTGCCAATCCGACAGCACCGAGGCCCCAAACTGCACAAGTACTTCCTTTCTCTACTTTGGCAGTGTTGAGGGCAGCACCATAGCCTGTGGGGACTCCACAGCCCAAAAGACAGACTTTGTCCAAAGGTGCATTGGAATTTATCTGTAAGGAGATAGAAACGATATAAAATAATCAATCAAAATATCATTAAAGGTATCAGATTAGGCTTACAATGAACATTTAAAAATGATAAAAAGTTTGCATTGAATAGAGATATAATAACACTAAAACTCAGCAGGTAGGTACTTGCCTTTGTTACAGAAATGTCAGCTACAACAGTATATTCACTAAATGTTGAACAACCCATAAAATGATACAGTTCTTTTCCATTACATCTGAACCTAGAGGTGCCATCAGGCATTTTACCCTGTCCTTGAGTTATACGGATCTTCTGACACAAGTTTGTCTTTGGTGTTTTGCAGAATTTACATTCTCCACATTGAGGTACATACAAAGGAATTACATGGTCACCTAAAATATATTCCTGATATAGAGTATACTTAAAAGACAATAGTTTAAAGTATCAACTAAACCACCCATTTACCTGGTTTTACATTAGTTACACCTTCCCCTACACTCTCAACGATTCCAGATCCTTCATGTCCCAATACGACTGGGAAAAGGCCTTCTGGATCTTGTCCGCTGAGAGTGTAAGCATCTGTGTGGCAGACGGCAGTATATATAACTCTTAATCTTACTTCGTGAGCCTTTGGTGGATCTACTTCAATGGTTTCTATTTTAAGATCTTCTTTGGGACCCCAAGCAACTGCTGCTTTGCATTTGATAACCTGTAAAACATACTGGTATAATATCAGTAATTTCATCCACGAGGTTCATTTAAGTTTTACCTGTCCTACTGTGCTCATTGTAGACCGGAAAGTGAAAAATATTCAGTAGGGTTAGTGATGTGGTCTAAAAAGCAGATATTTTTCCAATGGCACAGGTCAAAAGTTAAAAAACCATTACTTATCAGGTTTAGTAACCTTGAACGTTGCTCTCAAAAATACAATGTATAAGATTAATTTGCACTACGGAATATCAAATTTGTATAAATTTATTCCAGAATGCAATTTTCTATTTAATAATTTAAATAAGTATTAGCTCGATGATTAAATTGCACTTTGTTTTTTTCTCTGTTTAACTTTTGAAGTATTTATTCCTTTCTCTCTCGCTGCTGTCAATTGAAGTTAAAGAACCAGTGAGAAGTTAGCTGGTAAAACGTAACAGATCATAAGCGTAGATAAATTGATTCAGTTATTGTGAAAGGGGGTCATCTCCATTTTTTTTTAATTTCCACTATGTCGACTTTGCATTTAACATACGTAACTACGTCTAGTCCGTGTATGAAACCGCGTCCACTTTTATTATTATTCACTTAAGTAGAGCAAATAACCCATTTTCAAAGTGATCGGTGGTTTGTCTCCCATCCATAGTATGGTCCATAGGTGGATGGGAGAGGTGAGGTGAAGAAAAGGTGGAAGTTTTAGTAGATGGTGTGGAATCACAGGCTCTCAATATTAAAAGAAGAGTACGGCAGGGATGCCTCAAGTCACCCCTGCTTTTCAACGTTTACCCAGAAAGAATTTTCAGAAAAGCACTTTCTGAAAAACAAGAAGGAATACTTGTGAACGGTGAAGTCATCAATAATTTGCGATATGCGGACGATACAGTACTCCTAGCTTCTAGTCAAGAAGATCTGCAAACACTACTTGATAGTGTCGTTAAGAGTTGTAGGGAGAGGTTTGGATCTGAACATACGAAAAACCAAAATACTCGTAATAAGTAAATAACAGCATATAAAACCGTCTATATATGTAAATAATACCAAACTTGAGCAAGTTGATAAAATCATTTACCTTGGACAGCAATTAAATTGTAACGCAGAAAGTCACAGCGAAATTAGATCTAGGATAGAGCAGGCTAGAGCTGTTTTTAGAAGGATGTCAAAGCTGGTATGTAACAGAGACCTAAAATTAGCATTGAGGATCAGCCTACTTCGCTGCTACGTGTTCTCGGTCTTACTTTAGGGTGTCGAGTCCTGGACTGTGAATAAAATCGATCTAAATCGCCTTGAGGCTTTCGAAATGTGGTGCTATAGAAGAATTTTAAAAGTTTCCTGGTTGGAGAAGATTCGTAACTCCACAATACTAGAACGTCACAGCAACATTACTGAAATCATAAAAAGCATCAAGCAGAGAAAGCTGGAGTATTTCGGACATGTAATGAGAGGTCCCAAATATAGGTTGCTACAAAATAGTAGGAAAAATAGCAGGCAAACGCAGTCCAGGAGGAAGAAGAACCTCATGGTTGAAGAACTTGTGAGATTGGTATGGTGTTGATACAAGCATACTATTTAGGGTGGTAGTGAATAAAATTAAGATAGCTATGATGGTAACCAACGTTCTGAAAGGACATGGTACATGAAGAAGAGGCGATTATTTATGTCAGAACAAGAAAAATCAAGAAACTACCGCCCGACTTCTGACATAATCTCGCAAATAGGAATCAGCAGTAACTGGATTATATACTAATAAAATTTTGTGTGTATTTAATTCCTCAACTCTTATTAAAATTAATTTTTGTTTTTTTGCAATTTTTTACCTGCATTTTGGCTAAACTAAAGGATGGATGTTAATATTCCTACCAAAAGACATTCATCAATCAGCCAATCGCGTCCACTGCTGGACATAGGCCTCCCTCAGTTCTTCCAGTGTTCTCTACACTGGGCCGCTTGTAGCCAGTTTCCCGCAACACGTTTTATACCATAGGTCCATCTAGTCGGTAGTCGTCCTCGGCTTCTTTTATAGCTTCTGGGCCTCCATTCCATATTACGTCTTGTCTACCGTCCATCTTGTGTTCTGGCTAAGTGCCCTGCCCAGTTCCACTTAAGCGTCGTGGTTCTTTCGATGACGTCTTGAACTCCTGATCTTTGCCTGATTTGTTGGTTTGTTATGTTGCCTCGTAAGGCTTACGTTCAGCATTGCACGTTCCATGGCTCGTTGTGTAACTCGTGAGTTTATATTTTTGCGTGAGTGTTAAAGTCTTTGCTCCATAAGTTTGTACAGGCAAAACACATTGGTTATAAACATTTTGCTTGAGACACGTGGGAATTGAACTTTTTAGAATATGGCTTAATTTGCCATATGCTGCCCATGTTAGTCCTATTTGCCTCTGTATTTCATGTGTTTGATTGTCTCTGCTTATTTTGATTTCGTGTCCCAGATATTTGTAAGGGTCTGTTTGTTGCATGGTATTATTGTCAATAGTTATATTTCCACTCATTACAAGATTTGTTATAAGTTTAGTTTTCTCAAAGTTTATCCTTAATCCTGCTCTTTCAGACATACTTTTAAGCGAATGCATCATAGAAACTGTATCACGTAAGTTATCTGCGATTAATACAACATCATCTGCAAACCTTAGGTGATTTAATCTTTCTCCATCTATATTGATGTCCATATCTTGCCATTGAGTGCTCTTAAATATTGACTCTAGAGCCGCCGTGAACAATTTTGGTGAAAATTGTTCACGGCAGCCAAAAGACATTAAGAATACCATAACTGGGTAAGAATTATTAACAAAATATTTTTTAAATCATGAATGTGATTGAAATTTCTTTTACCTATTTAAAATATTTTTTATTACACTAAAAAAAAAACGGGTGTGGCAGTCCAGTGGGACTGCCGGTAGAAGTTCTATAAGGGAGTCAATCTGCACAATCATTACATATTATGTAATGCTATTCGCTCATTTCGCTCCGAGGGTTAACAAAGTGTCAAAGCAAAATCGACTGACCTGCTCATGGTGGCGATTGCGTGAAATTTTATCAGGACGCTTTTGTGGATGAATATGTTCATTGTACCATGGATGTTGATAATGTATATATAACCTCACTTTCGCAGATTATGTTAATAAATCTTTATTAACGACAAAAAATATTTTTGTTGAACTATAAATGTCACTATAAATAAATAACTAATTAATTCTAAAAATGGTATCCGGATATTAACACTACAAAATAAAATATTTAAGTTTAACGAAATAATTCCATAAGACTCAATACTAAAACGTCCTCACAAATCTGACAGCGGGTCACGTGACTGTAAATAGAGGGGAGACCCACGGAGCGAATAAGTAAAAGAGAGCAGAAAGAGAAGAATTAGGTATATAGGTATATGGTGCATCGTTTGCTGTATATAAACATTTGACCTGTAATAGGAGTAAAGTAAATGAAGGATTGAATCAATATTTTAATAAAAATATATATTTTTATTTCGTATTTATAAAAATTTCACATACTCTGCAGTAAAATTCATTGTTTATTTTGTTATTAATATAAAAATTACAATACAATAAATACACTGTAACATAATTCAATATAATAGTACAATACCAATTAAAATGCAATATTCATAAGTATTTAAAAATGACAATAAATATATTTACAAAAGAAACATTCTTATTCTCGAGAGAGAAAATATTATATGTCTCTCTCTCTTACATATGTAAAAAATGTTCGTGGAAGATAAAAATAAAAAACCAACAACTCGGATTATGTTGTAAATTTTCATTTTATTTTATAATTTAGCATTTTTGCGTATATTACATATATTTAATAAGATTAACGTGGGGTGTTTAAATATTTTAAAAATAAAAAAGGAAATTCATATTGGGGTTCGAACCATCGAGCAAAAAGACAACAGAGGGAATGTAAAGATAGTGGGGGCAAACATATTGTTAGACAGGAAGTGCGATCTTTAGAGGCCACATTAAACAAGGAAAGAGAGTCTCTCTCCTTGTTTGACATCAAATTTAGTTGGGTTATGTTATTGTTTGTCCCAAATGTCACATGAAATCTTATTTATATTGTAGTTTTTTAACAATTGTGTCGCATTTTAGACTCTTATCATTAATAATTAATTAAAACTTTCTCGTCTAAGACACATTCTGAAAAATATTATATAGCTACTGTTGATAAGTGTCGGAAAATTTAAATTTGGCGCATTCGCAATTCCGGATATGTCCACCAACAGAGGCCAATTTTTTGGTCTCCTTTACATAAGGATTAGATTCCCTCTTTTGTCTTATTGCTCGATGGTTCGAACTCACATATACCAGCGTATGAACAAAACACGTAAAAAATTGCCAATTAGACATGACACTAACATATTTCAAAATTGACAGTTCTCAATCATATGGTGATTTATTGTAATTATTATTTTGAAATACAAAAGCCTAAAATAATTATGAACATTTAATAAATAATACAAAACATATTACATAAATAATATATATATATACATATATATATATATATATATATATATATATATATATATATATATATATATATATATATATATTGGAATAATAATTACATATAAGTACAAGAAATTAGCATAGTAATATTATGATGTTTAATTTATAAACTTACTTAAATAGTGGTTAAAGAAATAATTTATAAGTTATATACTAGCAAATATTATTAAAAAATAATTATATGAGGGTATTTTTGAAAAGTTAGCATAGGATTAAGTTTTTAAAAGTTTTTATTTTATTTTATTCTATAAATAAATATATTTAAGTGAGCCTTGTGTATAGGCAACCAAATATACACTGTTTATGACATGACGATGCCTATTTTGAACTAAATAAGTAACAGATGAAAAATGGGGTTAAATATTAGTTTTTCAATTTCAATTTAAATATAATTACGGATGTTAAATAATGATAATATATTAATGTAAGATGTTTAATGTATATATAATAGTGTATTCCGATCTGAAGAGCCTAAATGCCCGTTAAATTATCTATAGAAAGCAAGGAATTTTCTGGAAAACGTCAATATGACTATTTGCATAGTAGACGATTCTAGAACTTTCATCTATGGAGGAGATGAAAAGTTTAGAACATGATTTCTTTCCCGATAATTCTGAAACCCTGAAAAGATATATAAGCGATGTAATTGAAGCAAGAGGGGATTATTAAGTCAGTTACAGGGGATTATTAAGTAAGTTAGAGTTGATTCATGAAGTTAGTAAAGTTAGAAGAAGGCATTAAGTTACAGGAAGTCATTAAGTTACAGTCAATTATTAAGTGAGTTATTTAGAAGTCAGAAATTAAGTTACAATTAACTAAGTGAGAAGAATTTATGAAGTGATTAAGTTAAATTAAGTTAGAAAAAAGGATTAAGTGAGAAGTCAGTCAGTCAGGTACCATTAAGTCATTAAATTAGATTTATCAAGAAAATTAGTTCAATACAGTTATAATTAAATTAAATAAGAAGAAAGGATTATCTTGGAAGAATTCATTAAGTCAGATACAATTGGAGAGTAAATTAATTCAACAATATAGACATTTCAATACAGGAGTATAATATATTATATGGAGATTACAAGGATAACCGGGGCTGATTAAGAAGATATTTAGTGGTGATTATAAATTTGATTTTGGAAAACTTTAGGTTTTCAGTGACAGAAAGGTACAAAATTTTGTTAATATAATTTAATAATTGTAAGAATTTCAAATTTAGATAGGTTGTTTTAAATTTAAATTGTTTATATATAGTTATATATGATCTGTTTATAACTTACAAACTAATTCTTTGAAACCACGATTAAAACTAATTCTTTGAGAACCACTCATATATTTTATTTTAAACACTCATTGCTCATATACAAAACAAAACATCATAACAATTTATATAGGAGTGAATCAGTGAAATCATTACATATGTAAGATATGAGTAAGAGAGAGACAGAAGATATATTTTCTCGCTCGAGAATAAAAATGTTACTTTATATATATATATATATATATATATATATATATTATATATATATATATATATATATATATATATATATATATATATATATATATATATATATATATATATATATATATATATATATATATATATATATATATATATATATATAATATAATATATATATATATATAAGGAATATTTTTATTCTTGAGAGAGAAAATATATCTTCTGTCTCTCTCTTACTCATATCTTACATATGTAATGATTTCACTGATTCACTCCCATACGAATTTCCAACATCTAATGCACATATGGAAGTATAACTTCAAAAAAGCTTGACTGAAAGGGTTAAAACAAATTTCACAGTTATAAGGTATACTTTCACATAATTTCTCCAGTAAACTAGTTACTTGTTTCACTAAACTGTTTTTCTCTGTTATGTGCATTCAAATGTGTTTTTAAAGTAAATTTTCTAGTAAACTGCTTGAAACAAATTTCACACTTGTAAGCTTGTTCTCCAGTGTGTACTCTTAAATGTGTTTTTAATCTACTTGCTACACTAAACTGATTAAAACAAATTTCACATTTGTATGGTTTTTCTCCAGTATGTGTATTCAAATGTATGTTCAAATCACCTTTCCTAGTAAACTGCTTAAAACAAATTTCACACTTGTAAGGTTTTTCTCCAGTGTGAATTCTCATATGTTCAGACAAAGAACCTTTTTTAGTGAACTGATTGAAACAAATTTCACACTTGTAAGGTTTTTCCCCAGTGTGAGATTTCATATGTTGGCACAAAGAACCTTTTTGAGTAAATTGCTTTAAACAAATTTCACACTTATAAGGTTTTTCTCCGGTGTGAACTCTTAAATGTGTTTTTAAATTAATTGCCCCACTAAACTGTTTAAAACAAATTTCACACTTGTGAAGGTTTTCTCCAGTGTGTGTTCTCAAATGTCTTTTCAAATAACTTTTACTAGTAAAGTGCTTTAAACAAATTTTGCATTTATAGAATTTTTCTCCAGTGTGAACTTTCATATGTGCATACAAAGAACCTTTATGAGTGAATTGCCTAAGACAGATTTCACACTTGTAAGGATTTTCTCCAGTGTGAATTTTCATATGGTCAGTTAATAGATGATTTCGACAAAATTGCTTAAAACAAATGTCACACTGGTAAGGTTTTTCTCCAGCTTGTGTTCTCAAATGTTTTTTTAAACTATCTGTTCTGGAAAACTGCTTAAAACAACTTCCACTTTTGTGCGATTTTTGTCCAGCCCCAACATTCATATTTTTATTTAATATTTTTCTTTTAGCCTGTTGATATTTATATTTTCCTTTATGAGATGAAAAGCCCATATTTTTCATTCTATTCTCTTCACAACCTAAAATAAAACCAACATTTTACTGAAAAAATTATTGCAGAAATAAAGGAATATAATAAAGCTATATCTCAAACTAATCAGTCACTTTGGCCTGTGCAAAAAGTCTTTATTTTTTTAATCTTCTGATGTATCATGGGCAACTTTAAAATGATAACAAGATCGGAAGATTCTCGTCCCTAAAAATAGTCTAGTAGAATATTGGCAACTTCCTCAGCCCCTTGATTAGTTACTCTTTTGATTGATACCATGCTATCATTTTCTTTGTCTTAACTCTTAATTTCGAATAAAAAATTTGGTCTGAGGAATACGGTGTTTGGCTTAATATGCCTGTTAACCAAAAAGGGAAAAGATAATCACAAAAATATACCCTTTACCATTACTACAAGAGCATGCCGCTGGGCAATGGACAATTAATTTGTTATCATGTACCTAATTGTAATAATTAATGTTATTTTCTTACTTGCTTTATTTGTAGTTTGCTTTTCTTCAAATAGTGTAAATTTATATTCATCTTGCTCTAATTCAGTATTTAAGAGTACATTTGAGTCTAAATAAACAAAAGCCTCGTATCTAGTTTCTCTCTTAGGTTCTTCCTCAATTTCAATTTTGAAGGCATTTAAGTCATTATACGATGTATGATGACCATCATTATCTGATTCTATTTTACAAGTTTTCTCACTAGCTTCTTGTTTTAATTCCATATTATTAAATTTGATTTAATTTAACAACTTTAGTTTTATCAAAAAAATACAGGCATAATATGCGTCAATATTCCGTTAAATTGAATTTTCCTACAATGAATGAACATCATAACCTATAGATATTTGACGTTAAATGTATACGTCAGTGTTGCCATATACTCAATTATTTCATACTCTCACATATAAAATAATTAGGGACAAGATTTATATTATATGAAATAAAAATTTATACAAACAAAAACGTGAAAAATACATAAATAAATAACCAAAAATGTAAAAAATACATATATAATTAAAAGCATTAAAATTATACCTATAAATATTATAAAATACAGTTATATCTTGCGTTTAAAAAATACTTATATAATAAAAACCTATAAAATTATACATAAAGTAAAAATAAATATAGCATTTTTCATATAAAAAAGCTTGCACGTCATTTAAGATTTACGTCACGTTAGTAAGTGAGGAATTTTTAAAATGTCAACTATTTGTCAAACTATTATATTAACAGTAAATACACTTAGTTTTAAGACTACTGCAACACATTAAAATACATAGGAAAACATTTTAATACAAAATTATATATTTTAAATTTTAAACTGACCCCTTTAGGGCTTTAATAGTAAAAACGTCCCGCCATTATTTCTTGTTCAAAATAATCTTTCTTATATGAAAGCTTACCAGCTTTCTATACACTATTTATTTGTTTTGGCATATCACAATTACAATACACAACAATAATTAGTTTTTAAAGCTATTGATCTAAATTTAATATTTATTTATAAATACAATTTATTAATATATATTATGATCAAATTGTGTAAGAAATCAAAACATAAACAAAAAGCCTACTCTAAAAAAGCGGCTTCACTTAATACACTTTTGTTACGCGCTGAACTGTCAATACGATTTGAAGTATTTTCGTATCAGTTGCGTTATTTCATAAAATTTACATTATTAATAATAACAAATGTTTTTGGTTATTTAATTAATATAATTCTAAAATTTCCAATATAATGATGATTACATTTTTCTGGTTTTTACACCACGTTAACGCCTATGAAAGATCGAGCAGTTCCGTATGGGTTTCGTATTATTAGCTGTGTTAGGAAAATTTGAACTCTAAGGTTGATGTTCTGGAAATTTTAAATACAAGTGACGTCACTTTGTATAAATCGTGACGTGCAAGTGTTTAACTTTGAAAAATGGTATATGTCCACATTTAAATCTCATCGTTGTTGCTTCCGTTAGAGTCCAAGACTCTACTCCATATAATAAGATGGAGAATATATAACATCGGAGCAGTCTGAGTTTCAGTTCTAAATTCAAATTATTTTGGCACACGTTCTACTACTTTTTGGTTGATGGTAAACTCTCTCAATTCTTTCTTTGCTGATTATCATGACTTTAGTTTTAGAAGTGTTAATTTTTAGTCCATATTTGCTACTAACGTCTAAGTGACTATTGTTCTATAAAGATGACAACTGTATTCTTTATTAACCACGTACATTCATTTTTTAACAATTTTATAATATCTAGAACATAATCCATTATTCTAAGGGTATACATGATAAATATTTACGTCTATGCGGATACGCCACTGATTGATGGAATGTATATACTTTATGACTATTTCGGTTATCTGATACGCAACAAATTAATTACTCAAAAGTAATACGCGTACTGTCGTTGACACTACAGTTGGCTAACTTTACTCAATGTCACGGTTGATACGAAGCGCAATCAGAAAATTTCAAGCGGTTACAGTTTACAGTCGGTGTTTATGTCTTGTAAACCTCATATTATAAACTGCACCTGGTACAGTATTTTGACCAAAATTAAGTAATGATAAGTGAAAATGAGCCACCATCTTCATTTTCTTGTCAGAGTAAGTGATGAGAAGGTCACGAATGATCCGTTCACAAAGAACTGATCTTTTCGAAGACACGTGATTGATACAATCACATTCTGTGACCCCCTCGTTCGAATGACTCTATGAATCATGCCTATGAATGACGGTGTCTAGTGTTTACGAACCGAACTGTGTGATCGCGACACGTTGCTCGGTCAAATTAATGCATGAACAGCGAAACGCAAAGGATCGTTTAAACGCTGATTTCAGTTTCCCAGAAAGGCGAAACTGAGTTGTCGAGTCAATAGTCCTGTAGTCAGTTCTATTTATAAATTTGTAGGAAATAAAGTCCATTTTAATTGTTGCATTATCATTCATTCATGAACATATGGAATTTGTAATTTTACTTACCTCTTTCAAGTATTTTTTTCTAATGATTTCTGAAGATGATTTGAGAAATACAAATCTTAATGTCAGCCTTAAACTATATTTCATTCATCGGTGACCCGGTCACCGAAACGAACCACGTCTTCCCATCACTAGAATCATCTGTTTAAATTTGTATTCCAGACACTTCTCGTTTTAAAATAATTTTATTAAAAAACAATGTAAAGATTTTTACAATTATCAGTTCGACTCATGGACGTATAAACACAGACTACGTCCATGGTTCGACTACTGTATGCGACAAAAATGAATTATATTAAATATGACTTGAAATAGCCGTCACAGTGAACAGATGGAAGAGCTGCTTTAAACAAATTTTACACTTGTTAAGTTATTTTCTAGTGTGCGCTTTCATGTTTACTTAAAGAATCTTTATAAGCGAACTGCTTAAAACAAATTAGACACTTGTAAGGTTGTTCTCTAGTGTGAACTTTCAAATGTCTTTTTAAGTGACTTAATGTAGTAAACTGCTTTAAACAAATATGGCACTCGTACGGTTTTTCTCCGGTGTGAACTTTCATATGGGCAAACAAAGAACCTCTTTGAGTGAACTGCTTAAAACAAATTTCACACTTATAAGGTTTTTCTCCAGTGTGTACTCTCAAATGTACTTTTAAATTACTTGCTTCTTTAAACTGTTTAAAACAAATTTCACAGTTTATTTTTTCTCCAGTATGTGATCTCAAATGTACTTTCAAAGCATCTGTCCGAGTAAACTGCTCGAAACAAATTTCGCAGTTATAAGGTTTTTCTCCAGTGTGTACTCTGAAATGTGTTTTTAAACTACTTGCTGCACTAAACTGTTTAAAACAAATTTCACACCTATAAGGTTTTTCTCCAGTATGTGAATTCAAATGTACTTTTAACGCAAATGTTCTAGTAAACTGCTCGAAACAAATTTCACACTTGTAAGGTTTTTCTCCGGTGTGAATTTTCATATGTTCAGACAAAGAACCTTTTTTAGTGAACTGCTTGAAACAAATTTCACACTTGTAAGGTTTTTCCCCAGTGTGAGCTTTCATATGTTCGCACAAAGAACCTTTTTGAGTGAACTGCTTTAAACAAATTTTACACTTGTAAGGTTTTTCTCCGGTGTGAACTCTCAAATGTGTTTTTAAATTAATTGCTTGGCTAAACTGTTTAAAACAAATTTCACACCTGTGAAGCATTTCTCCAGTGTGCGTTCTCAAATGTCTTTTCAAATGACTTTTAGTAGTAAACTGCTTTAAACAAATTTTGCACTTGTAAATTTTTTCTCCAGCATGAACTTTCATATGTTCATGCAAAGAGCCTTTATGAGTGAACTGTTTAAGACAAATTTCACACCTGTAAGGATTTTCTCCAGTGTGAACTTTCATGTGGTCTGTTAAAAAATATTTTCGAGAAATTGTTTAAAACAAATTTCACACCGGTAAGGTTTTTCTCCAGAGTGTGTTCTCAAATGTTTTTTCAAACTATCTGTTCGGGTAAACTGCTTAAAACAACATTCACATTTGTACGATCTTTGTTCTGCTCAACTTCCATATTTTTCTTTAATATTTTTCTTTCAGCGTGTTGAGATGAAAGTAAATCATAACCCATAATTTTGATTCTATTCTCCTCCACAACACAACCTAAAATAAAACAAACCATAAACAGTTTACTAAACGAAAACATAATTGCAGTAATAAAGGAATATAATAAATAAAGTTACATCTCAAATTGATGTCACTTTGGTCTTTATTAAAACTCTTTATTTTTTTTTAATCTTCTAACGTATTCTGCGTAAGTTTAAAATTTTATTTCACCATTAGATCTTATTGATACACATGTACAATATATACAGTTGTCTATCTATCTATATAAGGATTTTCTTAGCTGTCGCCGTCTTCTTTCTTTCAGTCAACGTCTCCAGTCCTTTCTGTTCTGCCATTCTCCATCTCTAAGGTCTCGTCTTTCCATGGCCCCATCCACTTCATCCCTCCATGATCTTCGGGGTCTACCTCTTTTCCTCCTTCCTATTCGGCTCCAATCCGAAATCTTTGCTATCCACCTTGTATGATATGTTCTTATATACATATGTAACCACCATAAAAAGATAGCCCAAAAAATTCATTTCAGTGAGTTCAACTCATAACAGATTTCTACATAAATATATTCATCCAACAAGTTCATTTATAAATTCTCTTTGGTAGAGGCGATTCGTTGTCCCAATAACACCCTGATCCATTGGTGTAATATGGACCGGAAACCATAACAAAGAAATTTCTATCATAAAATCTTAAGGCTGCCTCACTGGGATAAGCAACAACATTATCCAGAATAAGCGCCTTTTATGGCGACTTTTTCTTTTTCAAATAAGATTTTACTTCAGGAATGAGCTTTTTATAGAACCAATCTTGGAAGATGTCACAAGATATCCAGGCAGCTGGCTGATTATGATAGTGAATTAAGAGACTCTGTGGTTTAATGTTTTTAAAAGTGTGAGGATCTATTTTCTTTCATCATGCAAGTTAAATATCAGTGACCTATTTATTTAAATGAATAAAAAATATCCCACACGAATTACCCACAATGACGAAAATTTTAACTCCCGTCATTCAGTACTACTCTTATGTTGAGTTAGATCCTCAACCACAGTCTGGGGCCTGGACCATCAAAGAAAATGAAAAAAGAATAGCTGCAAAACAACTTTTTAAATATATAATTATGCCAACCATTCTAATTAATATTAGAATGGTTGTTGGTCATTGATTTTTCTTGAAATTGGAACTAAATTTTTTTTTTAAATGGGTGTTTCATGGAAGGATGTTGAAGCTGTTTGCTTTGATTGAGCTTCACCAATGTCAGGTAATTTGACTGAAGTGCAAACAATATGACAACAACCTTGCTCTTGTAAGTTCATGTGCAAACGAAAAGATAATCCCATAATATTTTATTTGTTTGGGGTTATACAGTTAATAATACAGTAGACTCTTATCCGGGTCTTGGTTATCCGAGCCCCTCGGTTAACCGAGGCAAAATTTTGCCTAGGTTTTACTTTTATAGCCATACTTTGTTGAATCACATTATCGAGTAATAAAAAGAGGGTCGGTGGTCACAAGTTATATCGGCAGCTGTTATATGGGCAATCCATTAATAATTGTGAAATATTGATAAGGAGAGAATTGTGTGTAAGGTAGGCTTTAGGTCAAGCTGATGTCGTGTTGGTATTCTCAGAAATTGGTCACTGCCTTATTTTCAGAAATTTCTGTGTCGTGTTTTGTCTACAACTTCCTGTTACTTTCTATATTAATCAGTGTGAATTGAACTACCGATTTGTTTGTTATCGTTCAGATCGTCAAATTTTTGTTTGCTGCCGTTCAGATCGTCAATCAATGCAATGCATGGATGGACTGTAACACTTTGAAGGACTGGCTTTTTAATGACTTTGTGCCAGTCATTGATGCCTACCTAATAAACCAAAATCTGCTCCGAAAAGCTCTGTTGTTCACAGATGCTAGTGAATTGATTAGTGGTGACATACAAGCTGTGTTCCTTCCACCCAATGTGACGTCTCTTATCCAACCCCTAGACCAAGGCGTTAAAGAAGCAATGAAGAGGAATTATCGGCGGAAGATTCTTCACGTACTGCTAACTGAGCTGGATGAAGGGCTGACTGTAATTGAGACATTGAAGAAAATCACGGTTAAAGATGTTTGCTATTGGATTCTCATCAGTCTACTCAGATGAACAAAAAGATACTTTACCTTTTTTTAATTTGGACAGTTCTATTTGTTTGAGTTCTATAATACTTACAGCAACTGAGGTCTATGATACTATTGCAAGTTGTAAAAACAGATTATGTGCAGGGCCGGATGGAATCCCAGCCTATTTTCTGAAAAAATGTATATGTGTACTTACAAAACCAATTTTGTTTATTTTTAACAGATCAGTTGGTACTGGTAGCTTTCCCAGTCTCTGGAAGAAAAGTTTTTTAAAGCCGATTTTTAAATCGGGTGCAAGGAACGATATATCAAACTATCGAGCTGTCTGTAATCAGTCGGAGCTGCCCAAGTTGCTTGATTGTTTGGTTAGTAAGAAACTGACATGGAGTTATAGAGGCATTTTTAATCCTGAACAATTTGGCTTTATGAGAGGGAGGTCAACAGATACCAACCTGGTTTTGTATGTCAATCATATATATAACAGCTTTGAAGAGGGGTGCCAGGTTGACTCAATCTATACTGACTTTTCCAAAGCATTTGATCGGGTAAACCATGGGGTCCTCTTACAAAAACTAAGAGCTTTGGGTATTTTAGATCCCCTTCTTCAGTGGATTACAGAATTTGTTAGTGGCCGTACGCAGACAGTTAACTTGGGAAGTGACACTTCAATTGAAATAACAGTTCCATCAGGCGTACCACAAGGCTCCCATTGTGGCCCTGTTTTGTTTTGCTTGTTTCTGGTTGATTTAGTACAACAAATCAAAAATTGTAGTGTTCTTATGTTTGCTGACGATGTAAAACTGTTTAGAAAAATTCAATCCTGGAATGATGCTGTTATATTACAGGAAGATCTTAAATCGTTTTATGATTGGTGCACTTTAAACAAAATGTCACTCAATATAAACAAATGTCATAAAATGACATTCTCGAGGCAAAGAAATCCAATTACATTTGTTTACTACATAAATAACTTGCCATTAGCCTCGAAAAATGAAGTATTAGATTTGGGAATTTGGTTAGACACCAAACTGTCATTCTCAAGCCACATTAACCAAGTAACAAACAGAGCGATGAAAGTGCTGGGATTTATCCAACGCACATCTGTGGATCTGTCTTTATTTACATTTAAAAGACTTTATTGTGGTCTCGTTAGGCCCATTCTTGAGTTTGGATCAGTTGTATGGTCCCCATCATACCAGTGTTACATTCAACAGATTGAAAGAGTCCAGAATAAATTTTTGAGGGTAGCAGCCTATAAGAGTGGATACAGGAGAGAGGAATACGACTATCAGTGGGTAAGAGATAGTCTTAACTTACCAACACTTGAGTCAAGGAGGACATTGTTGAATTTATGTTTCTTACACAAAGTTATCAATGCTTTTATAGATTGTCCTCAACTCTTATCGCTTGTTAGTCTTAAAGTTCCTAGTAGAAGCAACAGACAATCAGAAATCTTTTCGGTGCCATTTCACCACACTAATTATGGTATCAATGAACCAACTACACGATTGGTCCGGAGTGCTAATAGCTTGCCAAGACAAATAGATATTTTTGACTCCAAAATTAGTTTGTTTAAAAAACAACTAAAAAATATCTTACAATAAGTTGGTTGTCCATCTGTATTATTCTTATATGTTTGTATTATTCTGAGGTGTTTGTTATTTTAATAATTTATTGTTGTTAAGGTGTAACTTTTTAAAACTTGTGATTGTTATTTTAATAATATATTGTTTTTAAGATGTAACTTTGTAAAAATTGTAAGTAAATGGATGCCGTAAATAAATAAATAAATAAAAATCTGCTTGGGACGACGTAAAAGTGTTCACTATTCAGAAGTCGTGGAAAAAATTATTTAAGATAAACAACAAAACACAAGACGTTCAAAATGAAACTGATGACTGTGAAGTTGATTATATAGCCAACCTAGTCAATTAATTACCAGTAGAACAACCATTCGGAAACCAAGACATCATCGATTGGATGAATCTAGATGAAGAAATGGAACTGACAGATGATGCAATTGCCAATCTAGTTCTAAACGTCACTCATGAAGAAGATACAGATAAGATAACTCAAAAGATTTCTCATTCCGATGGATTAAGTCTCTTGAAGCAGCTCTCGCATACATCAAGCAACAAGAAGAATTGACACCATTAGAAGTCTCCATTTTCAACGTTGGCGCAACATCGCCGCCTCAAAAAGAGGAATGAAGTTCAAACAAAAATCAATCAGACTTTTTTAAACAGTAACATTTATAAGGTAAATTGTTTTATTTTTTATACTACTTTTATATTAGTTTTTAGTTATTAAAATAAACACATTAATCATTATTTACGTAGGTACACATTTTTCTATTGGTATAAACAATCTCAGTGTTAACCGAGTTTTTTCGATATCCGAGGTAGTCACGATCCCAATTACCTCGGATAATCGCGAGTCTACTAAAGTTTATATTTATAACAAACTGAATATCCTAATATCATTATCAGAGACATGTTGGGTTTGTTCAGAGGAAGTCTTATGTGATACATGAATAGCTTGAAGCTATAAGAGAATCACTTGAAAATGTATTGAAAATGCATCTGATCCAAAACCAAAAGAGAGAGGAAAAGGCATTTTTTCCAATAAAGTCTTTTAATTTTATTATAGCTTCTATGCACACATCAGGCATCCTATTCTACAGCTCCTCTTCGTAGTGAATAAAATGCTTTACTCACAGGAAATTGATCTGTGTCAGGCTATGGACGAAGTTCAAAGTTTTGCTTGTGGTTTGGAAGAGTTAAGAATAGAATAAAGTGTTGAAAACATATACTTAAGTACTCTAAAGCAAAAAATACTTATGACTGTCTTGGTATAGACATTTCAGAAACAAGAAAATTGTAAGTTCTAGGAAGGTTGAATGATAATCCTGATATTGATGAAAGAAAATTCTTTGTTTTTTATCCTGTGATAGATAAGACTATTCAATCTTTAAACAATAGGTTTAGCCAAGAAACAAAGAACAATATATACACTGTAGATAACTTAATGATGGTAGGTAAATTTTTGTTATATCACAATAATTTCAAATGCATCTCCGCTTATTTAATTGAAAATCCTCATAACTGAAGTTATTATATTTTTAAATTCTACTCCTCTAATTTACAATACAATTTTAAAATATTAGTCAAAAGAAAATAAACATAGAAAATTATAAGTGACAACGTTTACCTATAGGGCTTAAAAAAGAATGATTCTTTTAAGCATTAAACTGTGGCTTGTGCACCCATATGAAAACATTCTAAATAAGCCCATAGTTATCTTACTGTATCAGTGTTATTTACTTACTTTTATTTGTTGTTTGCGTTTTTTCAAATAATGTAAATTTATATTCATCTTGTTCTACTTCAGTGTTTACAGGGAATTCATTATCTAAACATCCAAATGTCTCATATGTAGTTTCTGTCTTGGGTTCTTTAATTTCAATTTTGAGGATATCCGAAGGACCAACAGACGTGTCATCTATTTCTATTTTACAGGTTTTCTCATTGGTTTCTTGATTTATTTCCATAACTTGAATATGTACAAATTTCAGTTTTGTTTACATCCAAAAAGTAATTTAGAAGAGTTAACCTAACCAGGTCAGGCTGGGACCTTCTTCTTCTTCTATAATTATTCTATGGACCACAGGAGTGATGACCTAGATTTATTGACATCTGTCAGTTTCACTTTCCAAACAAACCTTGTTTAGTATTGTTCTGAAGCTATTTTCTTGTGGCATTTTAAATTAATTACTATTTAACTGGGAATAAGCCACAATTAAAGATAAAAATACGTTTATTGACGTTTCAATTTCCAGAAGTGCACCACCTAAAGGTCGATTCAGACACATCAGTCACGTCTCGTCACAGCGATTGCGCCGAACCGAACAATCCGTCATACAAAATATTCTTTAATACAAAAATATTCGGCATTCACACTCATCAGTTGACAAACAGTTTCCCAGCTGTCAGATAGTTGATAGTTCTGTGACCAAACAGGACCGGTTCGGCGCCGAGACTTATGTGTCTGAATCGACCTTCTATTAATAATTTTAATAGACCGGACGATGTTGCACTTTTTATAGCATTGATACAACTCAAAATTGTAGCGCCTGCGCCATATCCCGCTTTCTTGTACTCCTCCGTAAGTATTCGTCTTTCAAAGTGGCCTAACAGTTCTTCGTTGTTTTTTATCATAGTCCATGTCTCTGACGCGTATGTCACGACAGGTTTAATAAGAGTTTCATATATTAGTAGGTATCTTGGTTTTTCTGCTAATTATGAGTGATGTTATGAACTGCTTTAGTCCAAAGTAAGTTATGTTCGCCATGTATATTCTTTTAATTTCTACGCTTACTATTGTATTTTGTTTTGGATACGTTAATCTGCAGTCCCATTGTCTTCGCGGCCTTTTCTAATGTTTCAAAAGCCAGTATCAGGTCTCGTTTTGTCCGTGTTACTATGTCAATGTCACCTGCGTAGGCCAATATCTGTACACTTCTATTGATGATCGGACCTCTGGTTGTAATGCCCGATTTCTCTATGGCTCTTTCTAGCGCGATGTTAAACAATAGACACGATATACTGTCTCCCTGGCGTAATCCAGTATGTGTTTGAAAAGACTGCACTCAACTTTCGAAAGAGCCTTTACCAATGTTATTGGATGCGACAGAATATCTAGTTCTGCCATGGCATTATAAAGTGCGCTTCTGTCTAGCACTTTTAAAATCTATGAAGAGGTGATGGGTATCAATTTCATATGTCTTTTCTAAGGTTTGTCTGAGAAGGAAAATCTGATCAATTGTTGACCTTTCTTTTCGGAATCCACATTGGTATTTGCCTATTTTTTCTTCAGTATATACTAGTAATCGATCATTAAGTATATAAGCCAGTACTTTGTAAGCCGTATTTAGGAGGGTAATGCCTCGATAGTTGTCACATATTAGTGGATTCCCTTTCTTGTGAATAGGTATTATAATACCTACATTCCAACTGTTTGGGAGTTTTCCTTCTTTCCAAATGGATGCAACAAGTTTTATTATGTATTTTTTAGGACGTTTGCTCCATACTTAAACAGCTCAGGGGGTGTACCATCTTCTCCAAAGGGATTTGTTGTTTTTTAACCTTTTTATTGCCTTGGCAACTTCTTCTTCTGTTGGTATATTATTTTTCTCCCTCTCATCGTTTACGTCTCCACTGTGGTCATTTATGTCAGTCACTTCTTGGTTGCCTATATTTAATTTCTCAGCAAAATTCTCCGCCCATCTCTCGACTATTTGATCCGGCGCATTGATAATTTCGGCTTCCTTACTTTTTATTATGGTTATTCTAGGTTTAAACTCTTTTCTATTGTGGTTTACATTTTTATAAAATTTTCGTTTCGCTTTGTGAATTGAGCCTTTCTAGTTCCTGTAGCTGGTTTTCTAAATATCGTTTTTTCTTTTATTTTAGTATCTTTTTCTCGGCTTATTTCATCTGTCTGTACTCCTCTTGATTTTGTCTTATCCTTCTGTTTTTGGAGTTTTCCATACGCCTGATTCTTTTTTTGAGTTGCCTGTACGCATTTCGCATCACACCATTATGTCCCTTTCCTTTCTTGTTTCTTCTTTCCTACAACTGTTGTGGCTACTTCTTTTAGGATATTTTCGCACTCATTCAAGTAATTATCTGTTTTCAACAGTACTACTATTGAGAGGAGCAAAATATAAATACCACAGTTAATCCTACAAATGAAGATCGAATGTAGGAGAGGAGTCGGCCGCAAACAATTATCCTGGTTAAGGAATATTAAAGAATGGACAGGAATACACAATACAGGTGAGCTGTGTCACGCCGCCAAGAACAGAATTCTAGTAATGAGATAGTCGCCTACGCACTTTGGTGTATGGCATGTTAAGAAGAAGAAGAACAGTACTACTCATTTGGTCTTCTAGTTTTTAATAAATTTGTGTTCAAATTTCCAAACTATCTCAGGGTCTTCGTAGTCTGTCCACCTCGAATTTAGCTTCTTTGCTTCCTTTACCTTTTTTTGCGTTAGAGATTCGTGCCCTTAGTTTAACCTGGACCAGGTAGTGATCGGATTCACTGTTTGCTCCACGTCTGGTACGTACATTCATAATATCGCTGTAATGTCTTGCGTCCATAACTACATGGTCAATCTGATTGATTGTGTTACCGTCTGGGCTAACCCAAGTCCCTTTGTGTATATTTTTACTCTCAAAGCATGTGCTGGCTATCACCATATTCATTGAAGCCGCAAGGTGTATTAAGCGTGTTCCATTGTTGTTCGACTCGTTATGGAGGCTATATTTTCCAATAGTGGGTATGTACTCGTTTTCTTTTCCTATTTTGGCGTTGAAATCTCCAAGTACTATTAAAAAAAAAAAAAAAGAAATAAAACCTGGTTTATTTGAGATTTTTTATTTCCAAAGCAATACCTAAACCAATACTATTTTTAGAAATAATTGTATAGGATAGTTTGTTTTTTTCATAAAATCTATCATAAATAAATTATTTAGGGAGTTTTTTGTAGAAGTATATATTAATCATAAATATTTTTGTTTTTTACAACAAAAATTACCTCAAATTTACTAAATTGAATTAGATACTATTAATAAATTGAAAAATTTATATGGTTTATCTAACAATTTATTCAAATAATGCCTATCGTAATGTGCACAAAAAGTACGTGCAAATTAAAAAAAAAAACAAAGAAACGTCCAAACCCGTAAACAAGAACCAACAATACACTTAACAATTCCTTCCCCCTCCACAGGGTTGGACAAAAAAATGTTTTTTAAAAAAAAACAAAAAACATGTTTTTTTTGTTTAAAAACAATGTTTTTTGTTTTAAAACAGTTTTTTTTTCATCTAAAAAACACTGTTTTAAAACAAAAAAAAAACGTTTTAAAATAATTACGTACTTCACTGGATTTCTAAAGGGGATTCCCATAAACCTCAACTGGCACACATATGGGATTCCCGCGAAAACGCGACCTGCGCGCACATGCAACGAGTGTTGTAACTGTTTCGTTTCCTTATACCAGGTGATATTATGTAAATCAAATTCGCTTTTCAGTTTTTCAGGCTATGTTGGAAGCTTTAAGTTCTGCTTTATTATAATATAATTTCATATTGATATCTTCAGTTCTATTTTAATTTCTAGTGGATAGTTGCAGTGTATACAGTGTAAATTATATTAAGTTTATTATGTCAAGTCAAGGTAGGCGGAGAGATCCAATTTGGATAAATTTTAATTTAATTAAGTGAATATCAATTTTGAGGATGGGAGAGAAAGTAAAAAAGACAGTGTCTAAAGCTGAGTGTAAAAAATGCAAGAAGCAATTGTCCATCTTAGTTGCAAGAATGAAAAAGCATCATGAAAAATGTGTTTTAACTTTAACGAATGTTGATTTTGAGGAGCCAGAAGAAGCTCAAATTAGTGAATACTCCAGAGTCCGTTGGAATACTCTTGTTGACTGTTTGGAATCGTATTTATCTAACTGGCATATTTTAAGTAAAGTTTGTACTGAAAATCGTTTAACTTTTGATAAGACAATAATTTCAAAAGTTGAAAATTTAAATATAAAAAATAATGCTCAGGACTATCTCGCAAAGCTGAAAGTTGTTGTAACAGCTTTGGATAAATGCCAGAGAAATACCTGCACCATAGCAGATGCAACAGACATTTGGAAGGACTTACTGGGTTATTTCCAAAGTGAAAGTGAAGCTCAACCTAACGGTTGTAGCAACGTGTTGGAACTTCATAAAGCAGAAGCACGTTTTCAACTGGCTATAAGAGATGCGCATTGTTTAGCTTATTTATTAGACCCTCAGTACTTAGGTCAGAAACTCTCTGAGGTGGAAGTTGATAGAGCATTGTTATTTATTATGCTTGCTACCTGAACATAAATAAAGTTTAGTCAGTTACTTTTTTTGAGTTTTACTTTTTACTTCGCATCAATATTGTTATTACACCTACTTACTCTATAATCTATGTTTGCAATTTTGCAAATTAGCAAACACAAATGTCTTATAATAACAAATGTTAATAAACAAAATAATAATAAACAATAACGAAAAAAAAAACTATGTTTTAAAACAATGTTTTAAAACAGTGTTTTAAAACGAAACTGTTTTTTTTTTCAGTGTTTTTAAACATGTTTTAAAACGTTGTTTTAAAAAGCTTGTTTGTTGTTTAAAAAAAACAAAGCTGCTGTGAACTATGGACTAACTTCATCACAAATTGCCTAGGACTTTTTTTATTTTTGAAAAAATAGATGCTTTCCAAATATGAAAAAATAATTTTCCCGCAGGCAATAGTTAAAAAGTTATTTTATTTGTTTATAAGCAAACAATCGACATGTTTTTGCATTGCAAGGTAGTGGCTCCCATTGCTGACAGTACTCCAATAATAAGCGACATCAGAATTTGTTATTTATTTACTTGAAACAGTGCAGTCTGTAGTATTGGCGGTCTTTGCTTCCTTGGGTAATAGTTTGAATATGTTGGCATCAATGCGCAGTTGGTG